ATGTTAGAATAAAACGTTTATTTTTGTCAACGTATTGTTTTAGTATTCCATCTATAAGCAAGATTTTTTCCATCACGCATCCCTAAATTATATCTATTCCCAGAAATTTAAACTGCATTTCCTGACATTATTTTCCCGTAGTCTGCATAGCATATTATTTGGATCCTTCTGTTCCCCATTCTGTAACGATGACCTCAGTAGCGGACTGAGATTAAAGCGGGCCCTAGGAAACATTGTAATTCCAGGCCTATTTTTCAGTCATGACACCATACTTGGCGTTTGGTATTTGGATCATCCGTCGGCTCCACACATGGAGGCCAACGTTGGCCCCAACAACGTTCGTCCAATTTGTGTACCGACAAAATTGTGTTGGAGCCAATGTTGGCGCCAACGTTTTTATGACTAGCTTAAAAGGTTGGGAGTTTTGCGGACTGTCGGGTTTTGCGTACAAATCAAAGGGATTAACACCACAGACTGATATCGCCCCAATACTTAACCCTTATTAACCTTAATTTTCATTTCCAAGGGCAGTAATTTCACCCTCAATCACTTGTTTCTGATCGTCACTAGCTTCAGTAAGTTTAAGGTTTAAATTCTTAATTTCCGCATTGTATTTGTCACATATTGAACAAGTATCTGTTCGGGGGTATCCAAAAGAAAGATTAAATTTATTATTAAAAATTTTTCTGTAACTCTCATACGATACAGGAATATTGGGATATTTTCCTTTGTAAAGTTCATAGCATTTAAATATCGATAAATCTTCGAGTAGGTAAATTTTTTCAGTAGCGTTGAGGCCATAATGGCTTCTTAAACCTCTAAATGAGTTTATATGGTCATAGGCTGCCTGTATTTTCTCATCACTCAATCTTTGGGGCCGATTTAAATGGTGACCTCTTTGGTCCCTAGGAGACAAGCCTTTTTCTTTTAAAGAATTTTGTATTGTATCTAGCCTACGTCTTGAAATACCATGTAAGGATATGAAAGCCTTCTTGCAAACAGGAACTTCCTGCATAATATTGCCTCGTTTCACTCTTACTAAATATCTAAAAGTATAGTCTCTACTTTTTGGATCATCCTGTCTAGGTCTTCTACGAACAACCAATGTTACTGCAATAAGAGAGGTTAGATATGATGACTGTTCATTCCAATTTTCTAATAGATTAAAATCTTTTATAATCCTACTCCTATTCTCGGGCGGAATAATTTTAAAACAACCAAACATTGAGCAGTTACAATCAGGACCTGTTTCATGACTACTAGCTAATATTCTTTTGTTTACATCAGTTAGTCTACCAAAACTATGTTTTTTTTTAGAAGTTTTTCCTGACGATGGCTTTACTCTCTCATTATAACTAGTATCTATACTGTTAATTTCCATTGTTCCTATGTAATTAATTACTAATTAACACTGACTGATGCTCACTCAACGACAACCAATAGCGAACTGATGCAATGACTCCAAGGAAGGACTGAACACGTTCTTTGCGTTTAGGCAAGCGACTAAGCACACTCTTTTCGTGTGCCTTCAAATTAGAAACGGAAATATTTCACGGACTGAAAACATTTTTTGCGTGTGATGTAGACAGGTTCGTAGTACTCGCATTGAACTACCAGAATGCGTTATAAAACAAAATTCCAAAAAATGGACTGAACACGTTTTTCCCCTGAACCCTTCATATATAATTAACATTTTTTTCACTTTTCGCTAAAAAACGCTTCATTTTTACCACAAACCGGTAAAGAGTATGAAGAAATAAATTTAATTGACGCAACCATGCGTTTAGTACTTCCCTCCAATATTTACATATAAAATGGAGTCACTGGAGTTCTTATTCTCTGACAATTTTTTATTTACATACTTCGTGTCTTAATTTAAGCAAGTTGTTGTATTGATTATTGTTTTTCTTTGGTTTGAATAGTACCGTTAAGTACTTTTCCGTTCATTTACTGGTATATTATTATTTTGCTTTAATTCGGCCATTTCTTTCCGTTGATTCTTTATAAGTATATTTGCTTTTATGTACCGTAGAAGTCGCTTTCCATTTTTTTTAAACTACTCTTAATATTCATTTTTTGGACTTCTTATCAGCCTCTTTGTTTGATTTCTTATTGTTCTATACTCTTCTCTGGGTTCTGAAATATTTGATGTTTTATACTTCATATTACCTTTCATTTTAGCTCTCTATTCCATATATTGTATTTTTGTTTGCCCATTTTCTTTTCGCATTACTTTTTATTACAGTTTCTTCTTTTTCTTTTTTTGATCACACTAATAAAATTGTTTGTTCTTGAATCTTGTTCTCCTAAAGCTTTTTCTGCTTCCCCTTAAGTAGAACATACCTTCACAGACATGCCCTACTTAAGTTTCTCATATCGAGTCTTCTTTGGTCTTTCCCTCTTTATTCTTCGACGAACATGCAAATTCGACGTTAAACATACCCGAACCATCTTAGTTTATGCTCTCTCATTTTGGAATTAATCGGTGAAATGCCCAGTCTTCTCTTAATATACTCATTCTTAATTTTAACCTTTTTTGTCCCTCCACTTATCCATCTAAGCATTCTCATTTCCTTCACATAAGTTCGTTGTTCCTATTTCTTTTTAACTGTCCAACATTCAGTGCCGTACATTATAGCTGGTCTTACACCATATTAAACTTGCCTTTGCTTATATAGTATTTTAGAATTTTTATTCTTATCTTTCATTGTTAAAGCAGAGAAATACTTACGGTATTAAATACGTGTTCATAATTTTCATATGTCTTAATTTTATTTATAAAATTTTTTATAAATATTCTGCGTATTTATCTGGGGCACGATAACCCGGTCTTAACCCGAGAAAACCGCTGTTTATATACAACTCACTTTCATGAGAATTCCCTATGTCGTTATAATTCTTTTAATTTAGATATTGCATTGTGAATACAAACTACTAGGAACATTTAAAAAATATTTTTTAAATCGTATAATTAACAACACGTGTATCTAAAATGCAGAAAAATGTTAAACAGTCTTTATGTGATGAGGTACACACCTCATAGTATAATTAGATGATTTCCAAACTACAACAAAAAACAATAGATATAAAAAGCAAACAACATCCTATAAACCGATTTGCCTACTCCCCGCTATGACAAAGTTACTAAAAAAATTACTTGTAGAGAAGATGGAACCAATTTTGAAAGCCAATCAATTAATTCCTAACCATATATTTGAATTTAGAGCCAAGCATGTTCCCGTCAAATAAGTCCACCTAGGTATAAGAAAATTATATAAATCCTTTAAAGATCAAGAATACTGATCTGCTGCCTTTGTAGACATTACCCAAGCTTTTGATAAAGTTTGGCACGATGGACTATTATACAAAATAAAAAAAAACTTACCAAATAACATTTTCCTTCTACACAAATCCTACCTTCAAAAAAACAGTTTTAAGTAAGGTATTATGGCGTGACCTAGGGGAGTGTACTTGGTCTGATCCTCTATATCATTTACATAGCTAAATCTTCCCACTAGCAAAAATATAACCATTGCAAATGTTGCAATATTACAAGAAAAGAAAGACATCCGAGACTGGAAGAAGAAAACAAGCAAAGGTAGACATCTAATTACAAAACTAATTAATGATAAAAACTGGGAAATTATCAAAATTCAAGAAAAAACACACCATGATAGAAAACTACTACCAAACATTATACAAGTCAAAAGCAATATCGCCACCAGGTAAAGACAAAAATTAGTAAAAAAATGTTGGATCTGACGATATATAACAGAGGACGAAATAAGAAACGCAATGAGCACTTTGCGAAATAAAAACGCTCCAGGTAAAGACTGAATAGTATTACAAATAACAAAGTAAAGAAAAGATAAAGTATGGCGGACATCACATAATCAAAATGTTAAAAGACATTTTTAATAAATGTATAGAGTGTATAGACTTTAATAAATGTATAGAATGTATAGACTTTAATAAATGTATCTACTGATATTTAAAAAGACAAACAAATATAAATTAGAAGAGTATAGATCCATTAGCCTGATATCAGTCTTGTATAAGCTGTTTGTGAAGTCACTGGATCTTATAATCTTCACTGGAATCAAACATCGTCTATCCCTACATCCAGAATCCGATGATATGAAAAACAAACTTGAGGTTCGACAGGGATGTATACTATCACCCTTGCTGTTCAACATATACTCTGAGGAAATATTTCAAAAAGTAATAGAGGATTGTACGAACGTTAATGAAAATTGAGACCATTCCCTAGAAATCAAATGTAGGATAAAGAAAGCATTTCAAAAAATGGTTAAGCTAATCAAGTGCCATGATTTATCAGTACCCACAAAAATCAGGTTACTACGATGTTATATCTTTCCTATACTGTTATACGAAGTTGAGTCCTGAACTCTCATATACCGACCACGTTACTAACCAGGACATTTTATTAAAAATGCAAAAAGGGAAAGAGTTGTTAAAAAATCCAGCCAAAATCGAATACCTCGGTCACATCATGAGGAACAGCCAAAGATATAGGTTGCTGAAATGAATTTTACAAGGAAAATAGAAGGAAAACCAGGACCAGGAAGGCGAAGGATTTCCTGGCTGAAAAATCTACGTACATGGTTTAACACAATAACCACAAATCTTATATACAGATAAGCACCACAAGCAGAAGATGTCCTATGTGCTCGACGACTATTGATATACTACAAGAATATTGATCAATACTACTAGTGTATTAAGACTTTGCGATTTTGTCACCTACGTAGAAAACTATTCTGTTTTGCTGACAAAAGTCGATTAAGCGATTTCCCCCCTCATTTTTTGTTCCGAATCCGTAACGTTAGGAATTCGTAAGCAATGCACAAGCTACACCTTCTCGTTCTTTAGCGTCTTTATTTCAATATCAATTCACAATCACTGAAAAATTTGTCTGTATACTAATTAATATGAATAATATTCTGACACTATTGTAATAAATTTATTCCTTGTTGCAGTTGGCAGTAAATGCTACACTTCAGGAGTACCTGGTATATGCAAAAGTGTCACAGAGTGCCCACAAGCATTAGACTCGTTAAGAAAATTCCATAAACACAATTTTAAAAGATGTCTTTGGGATAATTTGGACGAAATCATATGTTGTCCAGGCAATGTGGAAAAGGGGCCTACAGAGATAGATCCCTATCCAGACGGTAGTACGGAAGAACCTACCAGAAAACCTAATACAGACAATAAAGGACAATTTCCCACAAGAAAATATCAGCAAGGTAAGAAATGTATCCAAGAATTTTTATTATTTGGTCTATAAGTACAAAATAACTTTATTTGAGTGTTATAATATTGTAACGAATTTCTCTGGTTTCAAGGATTAAGTTTAGAAAACGTGATTTAACTAACTTTAGTTCAACTCCATAATATACTCACTAAATTAAACATATTTCGCTGATACTAATAATCTAATATCGGATCGATAGAACGGTGAGTGGAATATTCATACACTTTACATGCTCGTTGTCTATCCACGCTATATTTTACAGTTCCTGCTCTCAAGATATCTTTTTTTGTCCTTTTCTTTCGGTAATAAGATTTCAAATTTCATCTGATATCCATTATTTTTCCCTTTTTTCTTTTTTACCCAAGTTTTCCTCAGAAATTGTCCCTAAATATATGTGTTCCTCTGGGAGTTTTTAGTTTGTCTAAATTGTATCTTGATCTGTTGTTGTTTCGCGTTATATTGTTATTTGTTAACCATTGTTGTAATGGTTCATTAGAAGATGATTATCACTATTAGATGATGGTTTCTGGGTTTTCTAACATTGCTTCGTTCATAGTTATACACCAGTTTTAGTAACTGGTCCTTGGTCAAGGCTCCAAAACCTCCTTTAAAGCCAAACGGGGTTTCTGCCACCACTGACTAACATTTTTTATGTATGGGGCTGTTAGTAATGTTGTAAATACGATTCACCATCAATGAATGAATGAATAAATACCATCAAGGCCAGGTGCTTTGTTATTCTTTAAGTATAAAATAACCTTTTGGATCTAATCTATTGTAATGATGGTTCGAGAAATTATATTGTTATAGAAAAATAGTAAAACCATTTTTTTATTATTTTAGCTTGCGATGCAATTCAAACAGAATCTAAAGCAAATATTATTTTTCACATCACAGATGGTGAAGATGCTTTGGATAAAGAGTTTCCACATATGGTAAGAATGAAAAACTACTGTTTATTGTTAGTTTGTAAATATTACAAGATAATTATACAATATAAGAGCAATCAATTTAAATATAAATGTAACCAATTAAATGATATTAACATTAAGCAACTATTATCTCCTTTTTTGAAGAGAAGTATTGTCAAACTTTTATTCCAATCATCTGGGACTTCTCCTTTGTGAAGACATTCGTTGAAAAAATTTTTCAATTCTTTGAGAATAATTTTGATACCCTCCTTCAACATTTCTACAAGTATTCCATCTAGGCTCGCAGCCTTATTGTTCATTCTCGTAGCTTATTTTATTTCGAAGGATTCTATGTTAGGGATTTTTTGGAGACAATTTTGGAGTCCCAATTTTCAGGTTAAATATATGACATATGTTTGACATTATTAAATACATGCGACATTGACAATTATTAATAAATTAGTTTTTAACTATATTTTTTCAGTTTATATACAAAATAAATGTAATATTAAAAACTGGGTTTCTCAAAATTCATCATAATATATCTTCTCAACTCCAAACGGAAAAGAAAGAGAAAAATCTAGTACTGGCAAATCAAGTTTTTCACGCAAAAGAGCATATAATTAAAAACAGTAATAGTAAAAGTTATGATATAAAAGCTAAAGTCATCTGCAGTTAGCTTGAAGCCTTATGAAATATCATTCAAGGTAAATTATTTAAATTTTTCCTATTTCAATTGCATAAAAATGAAATTATGTCATATTTTACTTTTTCATATTAATAGCACGAATTTATATTTTTCTTTTCTCTAATTTATATGTAATTTTTGGGAACCTATAAAAACCACACTCACTGTTTTTGCTATTATTAGCACAATTAAATACGCAACATGTATTTCTACACATTTTTGATAAAATTTATGCGTAAAAATATTTTGTCCAATATTCCAATTTTGTCATATTTCGCCGCTACGCACGCTGGCATCGTTTCAATGTACCCCAACCATGGTCAAGCACGGAGCGAATAGGCTTTCCTAAGTTTGATTTTAAGCATTTCAGGCCTCGGTCCTTTTCTATTATTTTTTCTACCTTGTTTTCATTGTAGATCCAGCCATAAAGGCTGGAGAAGAAGAAGAAGAAGAATTATATCTGAGATATCTTAACGCATTTATATTTTTGCTGTCAATTGTTGCTTCGCTTGAATTGGGCCATCTAGTTTCACTTTGCCCAATAACCTAATATCTCGTCATTCTTGAATAGTATTATGCACTTTTTCTTCTTTATATATTGCCTTCCATAAGCCTACTTTCATTTCATTTTGCTGTTTTTTGCTAAGTTTTGCGCTAGTGGACATGTCACATTTTGCTGGCTAATGGCGTAAGATTCTCGCTGGATCTTGGTTTCAGACATCCATGATCAGTCATAGATTTTTGATTTTGTTCAGTTGTGATAATTGTATTACAGATTGATAACGGAGATGTTTCTCTTTGTTCTCTCCATCGCTGTACAGAAGTCAGTGAAACTGTTTTAGCCTTGATTGCTAGCATGCAATACTATGCAGATTCAGGATCAATTACTATACGCCAAAATTTGATACTGAATCGCTGCTTACTTTTTCAGTGAATGTTTATCGACTTTCACATGAGAGTTAAATATCTCTTGAATGCCAATATTTAAAACCATCTACATGCTAAGACTCTCGATGAGATTGTCTTAAAGGAAAGATACAAAGAATATAAAGCTTTTTATAAATGCCCAACAGTTTAGTAAAAGAAACTGCTAAAGAGGTGTTGGGCATGGAAGGTAAAGAAAGAAGAACAAGAACGAATCACTGGTTTGACGAAGAATGTCAAACTATAACAGAAAGAAAAAACAGAGCATATCTACAGAAGCAACAGAGGCACAGAACCCGACAAGCAGAGGAAGAATATAAACAACTACGTAAAGAAGAAAAGAAAATTCACCGAAGAAAGAAGAGAGAATATATCAACAAAGAACTTCAAGAACTACAAGAACTAAGTAAACCAACAGAGACAAGAAAATTTTACCAGAAACTCAACAAAAGCAGAAAAGAGTTCAAACCGAGAACAACGATGTGTAAAGATAAGGAGGGTAATATATTGACAGAACAGCAAGAGATACTTAGAAGATGGACAGAAGATTTTAAGGAAAAGCTTGGGGTGAATAAGACGGAGATGTTCCCTGATATACCATTAGACCAAGCAGACAACGGAGAAAAGAGTCCACCAACAATAGCAGAGATTAGAACAGCAGTGGACAAATTAAAGAACAATAAATCACCGGGATCGGATCAAATATCATCGGAGCTACTGAAAGAAGGAGGAGACGCATTACTTAAAGCCATACATGAGCTGATAAGAAAGATATGGTTGAATAAACAGCTACCAAAGGAGTGGAATAGCGGCATTATTGTACCACTACATAAAAAAGGAAACCAGTTAGAATGTGAAAACTACCGTGGAATCACGCTGTTGAATGCGGCATACAAAAGAATGTCCAACGTAATGTATGAAAGACTTAGACCATACGCTGAAAAAATAGTTGGCAAATACCAATGTGGCTTCTGTAAACAGAAGTCAACAATAGACCAGATATTTGTTCTGCGACAGATCCTTGAAAAAACAAGTGAATATAACATCGACACACATCATCTCTTCATAGACTTCGAAAGCGCATATAACAATATAAACCGAGAATTCCTAACAAAAGCAATGAAAGAATTTAATATACCAACACAGCTAATAGAATTGATAAAAGAAACACTAAAAGTAGAAAGTAAAATCCGGACAAAAAACGAATTAACGGAAACAATAAATGTGAAGAAGGGACTACGCCAGGGAGACGCTCTATCATGCATATTATTCAACATCATACTTGAAAAAATAATAAGAGACACAACAGTTAATACCCGAGGAACAATAATTAATAAAAGCGTGCAAGTACTAGCATTTGCAGATGATGTTGACATAATCGCAAGATCAAGAAGAGAAATGATAGAGGCATTCACTCAAATAGAACGAGCTGCAAAAAATAGTGGTCTTAAAATCAATCAGACAAAAACAAAATATATACCTGCAAATAAAAACGCACAAATAAGGCAGCTGCCAAATTTAACAATATGAGAATACAACATTGAGGCGGTAAAAAACTTTACATACTTAGGATCCCTAGTTACGTCTGATAACAACGTTGCAGAGGAAGTGAAGAGGAGAATATTTATTGCCAATAAATGTTACCATGGCTTAATTAGGCAACTAAGATCAGATAACGTCTCCAGAAAAACAAAATGCCAAATATACAAAACCTTAATAAGACCGGTACTCACATACGGTTCAGAAACCTGGACACTCTCTAAAAGGGAGGAAACGTTATTAGCCACCTTTGAAAGAAAAATCTTGCGACACATATATAAGGGCACAAAAGAAAACGGGATTTGGCGAAGAAGGTATAACTTTGAACTATACAACATATACCAGGATCCGGATATCATAACATTCATTAAAATAGGAAGGCTACGTTGGATTGGACATGTGGAAAGAATGGAAGAAGGCGAAATACCAAACAAAATATTCAAACAAGTGCCAGTAGGAAAAAGAACAGGACGAGGAAGACCGAAGCTGAGATACGTAGAACAAATAGAAAATGATATAACAACATTAAAAATTAAAAACTGGAAAAAAAAGCACGAAACAGGTCAGAATGGAGAAGAATCCTTGAACAGGCCAAGACCCAAAAAGGGTTGTCGAGCCAGTGATGATGATGATGAACAGTTTAGTTTTCTTTAGCCTAACAGTAAATACTTATCGAAATATAGTATAATGTGTAAACGAAGTTGCTATGAAAGTGTTAGGAGAACAATCACTTCTTCTTAAAGTGACCTCTCCATTACTGAAGGTTGGCTATAACTACAGCAAATTGCTCTCTATTTTGTGCTATTCTTAGTATTGAATATGTGTCCATGCCTGCCCAATCTCTTACATTTTTCAGACAGGAGCATTTTCTTCTTCCTGGACCTCTTCTTTCTTCCACTTTCCCTTCCATTATCAGTTGTAGGAAGTTGTATTTTTCTCCTCTGTAGATATGTCCTAGATAACTGGTTTTTGTGGTTTTTTGTAATATTTAGGAGTTTTCTCTCAGTCCCCATTCTTCTCAGCACCTCGTTGTTGGTCACGTGTCTGTCTCATTATTTGAAAAGCGGGCCTAGTATACTCTATACGAGCACGTGTTTCAACTTCGTAGTCAAGATCGTTTGTTATCCAGCAAGCAAAATGCTGAAATTTTGTACGAATTCTATCTATTTGTTGTAGATACTAATATTAATGTCATTTCGTGGAACAATCACTAGACAGAGGAAATACAACTGAAGAGTGGAATGAAGATATTAAAGTAAAGGTAGCTAAGAAAAAAGTTCCTAATATATGGCTAATGGCAAAAGACCCAGAGGACTGAAAAAATTTCACATGATGCTATAAAGATGTCAAAAAAGTAGTACTAAAGGCCAAAAAAACGGGATTTGGGACAATAAATGTAAACAAATATGTCAAAATATAGGCTATAGCAGAACAAGCAAAACATGAAAAAAATAACATCCGTAAGAACAAATATCAAGGAAATAATTTATATCAGCCTAAAATACCGTTAAAAAATTAGAAAAATTATCGGAATCTATTTACCGAAGATCGTCCGGAATTTCTTTTCTAAAATAATGGCGAGTCTTTCCAATTAGAGACAATAACACCATGGTGAAGTGAAGGAAATCCTAATGACCATGAAAAATTATCAAGCTTCGGGATCTAACTGACTTTACATAGAACTTCTAAAATACGGACCAGACTCATTATTACAATTTCTTGCCTTAGTTTTGAATTGCTTCCTAATGTGAAGAACTGATATCCGAATGGAAAACAGCTTATGTACCAAAAATTCATCAAAATGGCGATAGAGAAAAGTGCTCTAACTATAAAATATAGTACTATAAATAAAAGAAGAATATAAGAAAGCTCTGTCTTACAGTAAGTACTTTTATAAAAAAAATAGTGAATTAGTTATATATAAGCAGGAGCTAAGTGGTTTCGTGCAGAAAGGTTTTATTCTATAGCCTCTTTTGTCTAAAACTGGATAAAAAGCAGACGGTAAAGAAAAACATGCTAGGGTACCATTAGAAAAGCGATAAACGAAAGAAATCTTTAGGATGAAGAGTATAGAGATAGGAAGCGATAGCAATTGGGAAGCGAGAAAGAACTATGATGTATTTTGTGTATAAAGGATAGTTAACCCTTATATTTAATGCAAATTAATCACAATTTTATTGAAAAGATAAATTTCAGAAATCTATGAAAAGTGAGAACCAGACACATATTATATTATCTATGAAATTTAATAGAATTATCTTTAATTTAACTAAAATAATCAAAAGGGCGTTAGTGTACTTACTAAAACATTACTTTGATTTCCAGGTAGCTCTTGGCTATGAAGATAGCGATCTTCCTCCGGGAGAACTCAGTTGGAAATGCGGAGCAACTCTAATCTCTCCCAATTTCTTGCTCACAGCAGCCCACTGTGTATCTAAAGAGAAACCTTTAAAAGCCCGTTTGGGAGTAACGAAAATCACCGATAGCAATCATCAAGATATCGATGTCAGGAGAACAAGAATACACGAATCTTACGATCAGTTAGGGAAACACGGTGATCTTGCCCTTGTCGAGTTACGAAGAAATGCCACTTTTTCCGATAGGGTGAAGCCAGCGTGTTTATACTGGAAACATGACGATCCTCTAGGTCTACTTGTAACAGGGTGGGGGAAAACTTCTGTCTGTAAGTATTGTGCTGTAATGAGAATTTTACTTTAAGAAACTTTATTAGAATGTTATCTTAAGAAAAAAATGCTCATATCTTTTAATTTTAAAAATTTTAGATAACGAAGATGACAGAAGTATAATTTTACAAAAAGCCAAATTGGTTCCTGTATCTGTTACATCTTGTAACAATACGTACTCTACTAGATCTCTGGGTATTCAAACAATCGAAAACACACAAATCTGTGCTTTTGGAAATTCTTCTGATGCCTGCTGGGTAAGTTTACTTTAAATATATTAACAGGTTCGGCATTGATTTAGAGTGAGCTCCATTATCTATTCTTACTTAAAAAAATATTATTCTCTATGCCTTTTTGTCGAAGAGTGTTCTTTGTTTGTACCACATCTTGTAGATGAGTAACAGATTCAACATTAAAGATTTATACAGAATATAGGCAAGCACTTATAAGTTTCTGGGCAATAGCAATAAATAATATGGAAAGCTTAGAGCAGGGGTGCTCAAACGGTCGATCGCGATCGACTGGTCGATCGCGAGTGCTTTTTGGGTAGATCTCGAGAAGAAAAAAAATTTTAATAAGTAGGTAGGTAACTAAACTACTGTCAGCGGAAACGTTTTTATTAATACTGAACTATACAAATACATAGAATGCTTGACTAAGCATCATTGCAATTCAAAGAAGTGGGGACAACAAAATACTGTCCACACAGCATATTTTATATTTACTTATACTAATTATTTTATTAATTCAATATTTATTATAATTATTAATCAAATTTGGGATGATATTCTATCAACTACAAAAATGTATTACGTAATAAAATTACACTGATTGCGGCAAAAGGTGGCTTTATCAAAGGAACGCGCGGCACTTGTCAAAGAAAAGCCATGTTGTTTCTAGACGAGAGACAGTACAGTCTAGTTTCGGGCGGCGCGTTTGACGGAAACATTCGAGACTTTCGTTCACGCCGATATAAATGTTGCACCTGCAGGAATTGGAGTTATTTTGAATTTTAACTTGATAGCGATCCTACGTCGATACAAAGTTTATTATTAAATAGTGGAAAATGAGTGCAGTGAAGAAATCTAAAACGTATCATTTTAATAAGGATTGGAAGGAAGAATTTTTCTTTTCTATGGTGAAGGATAAGTGCATTTGTGTTATTTGTCGTGCGTCAGTTGCAATACCTAAGCGTGGTAACTTAGAGAGGCATCATAAAACGGTTTATAAAAACTATGAAAAGGATATTCCGCCACAGAATGAATTAAGAAAACGAAAAGTAAGTGATTTGATATCTTGTTTGAAAAAAGAATAATCCATGTTCACAAGACCAGCCAAACAATCGGTGGTGAAGGAAGCATTTATTGAAGCAGGTGAGACTTTATTTGGAGATTTTAAAAATAAAACAGAAATCATGTCTGCTATTAGAGAACTTCAGTTATCTCGTCCGACTGTCACAGGGCGTATTGAAGTCATGAGTCAAGACATCGCAGATAAACTAAAACATGATATCATGGAATGTACATACTTTTCTTTACAGTTCGACGAATCCATCGATATGACAGACACTGCCCAGCTGTGTATTTTTATTCGGATGGTATTCAATGACATGCTGGCTAAGGAAGAATTTTTGACAATCATTTCTCTGAAGGGGAAGACCCGTGGCGAAGATATATATGACGTTTTCTTAAATTTTGTTAAAAACTACGAGCTACCAATATATAAATTAATGTGCATTACAACCGATGGAGCACTAGCAATGACTGGAAACAAAAACGGTTTTGTGGCATTGTGTCGAGCTAATGAAGAATTCCCTTCATTTTTTTCATTCCATTGCATTATACATCAACAAGTTTTGTGTTCAAAAGTTTTAAACACGGAGGAAATTATGGGCATTGCAACAAAAATTGTGAATTCAATCCGTGCACGTAGCTTGCAACGGCGGCTCTTTCAGTTGCAGTTGGAAGATAGGGAGTCAGCTGAGCACACTGATTTAGTTCTTCACACGGACGTCAGGTGGTTGAGTCGCGGAAAATTCCTAGAAAGGTTTCAAGAATTATTGCCCGAAATAACAGGTTTTCTAGACGAAAGAGGTGATAACACTCAGATTTTGAAAAACGAAAAATGGCTAAATGATTTGACATTTTTGACTGACATCACAATGCACCTAAACACCGTTAACTTGGAGCTTCAAGGTAAAGGAAAAAATTATTATTGAGATGATTAGCGCAGTAAACGCATTCAAAAGTAAATTGCAACTTTTGATAGATCAACTGAAAAGAAAGGATCTGAAATATTTTCCGTCTTTGAAAGCAAGGATTCCTCAGTTGAATTATGATACATATAAGGCTGAATTATCAAATATTTTGGGACAATTCGAAATGCGTTTTTATGATTGCAGTAAATTGGAAAATATAGCATCATTTATGAGTTATCCTTTTTCATGTAAAAACATTGAGGAATTAGCTACTGAAATAGCAAGTCAGTTTAATATGAACTCATGTTCTGTTGAAAATGAGTTGGTGCAGATTATATCAGATATACATCTCAAAGCTACAGTATCTGATACAAATTTCTGGCGTTTTATATCTGAAGATAAATATCCGAATGTAAGGCAAATCGCCCTTCAACTGACGGCATTATTTGGGTCAACTTACTTGTGCGAGTCTGCATTTTCTGAAATGAAGATAATTAAGTCAAAATATCGCAATCGACTAACTGACGATCATATGACATCATGCTTGCGATTAGCACTCAGTGGTTACGTACCATCTTATGAAAAGTATGCTAAGGACATGCAGTGCCACGCTTCAACATCCAAAGCCACTCCTTAGTTAAGTTTAACACCATATGTAACTCTTTTGTTTTGTAAGAACAAATAAACTCGCAATTTTGAATAACCATGAGTTTTTTCATTGATATTGTAGAGAAGAACTTAACTAAACCTAACCCAAACCTTGACTAAAATAATGTACCTATATTGTGCAGAAAGCTAATATCTATATATGCTACGGTACGCCCTACCTAGGTAGGTAGGGTGTATCGTGTATGTACGACAACCCTGCATCACACACACTTGCAGTGTCTCAGAGTCGATCGTAAGTAGTCTAAAAATATTGAGGTAGATCGCCAGCAGTTCAAGTTTGAGCACCCCTGGCTTAGAGGATGATATCAACAAAACAAAAGCTCAAAATTAATTTTTTTCTGGACACAATACAAAAAAAGAAATGGACAAGTAAAGGGAGTATGGAAGACCCAATCAATAAGGAAATAAGCAGACTTAGTATACTGGATATATTCCCGAATATAGTCTGGTATAAAGAAGAATAGTCCAAAATCCACAAGGAAAATGAAATTTCTGTAATTGGCTGTATAGGTACCATAAATCATAAAAACTTTTATTTAAAAAATCCTTTATAAAAGGTATATATTAATATAAAAACCCTTTCGGGTTACATCACAGAACGTTTTCGGACTAATAAGTGCATTATCAGTGCAGTTACCAGGTATACGTAAGGTAAGCCAATAAATATGAGGGTAAAATCCCTTAAATGAGTAATTCTCAACCTCTAGGGCGCGCCCCCCTCTGGTTTTCAAAGGTCTTATTTTTATGTAATTAACTACTGTTACAACCGTTGTTAGCACAGTATTCAGGCCAGGAGACATTTCTTTGGAAGTCAAAGCTTCTCTGTGGATCATACAGTGTGTCCATATACACATTGGAGACTTTTGTTTTACAAGCGCTTGTAGACTATGAAATTTTCCGGACATTATACGAGCACCATCTGTGCATATTCCGACGCAATTCTTCCACTCTATTTTTGCTTCATTTATATAATCGTTTAAGATAGCAAATAATGAGAGCGACGTTGCTTTCAGTTCTATTGGTTTGCAAAAAAGTAGTTCTTCTACCAATGATATGCCATCACAAAATCGAACGTAAGCAATAAAATGGGCATCTTTATTGCTATCTGTTGCCTCATCAAGCTGAATCGAAAACAGCTTTTCACGCAACTTCTCGAGTAGCTGATCCTACTCTACTTGATGGGAGGTTTTATAAGATGCAAGTAAAGCGTTTTAATTCACAGTCAAAGTTTTTTTTTATAAATGATTTTTGTTTTTCATGTTATTTTAATTTTAACTCGAAGAATTCTCGGGGTTGATTAATGCACTCACTATGAAGCGTTTCCAAATGTCTTTTAAGTTTATTTGGTTTCATGCTGTCGGCTGCTAAAATTTTTGAGCAAATGATGAATGAATGCCGTTTTTCTTCATTTACTTTAGTAAACTTAAACTCAAAATTTAAGTAATATTTTCTTGATTTTATTTTTGGAATTACTCTCGCCTGTACACTTGTTGATGCTTCGTTAGTATCGAATGCTCGCTTACGCCCAGTTAAAAATTTATCCATGATTTTGTATAAATTTAAGTATAGGTATTTACCTACTTGACGTCTTTCACTCCAGTTCTTTGCCGTATCTCATCATTTCGTATTCGGTCTCTCAAAGTTACGCCAAGCATAGATCTTTCCATTTTTTGTTGTGCTACTTGTAACTTTTTTATTGATGCTTTAGTCAATGTCAGTGTTTCAGCTCCATAAGTGAGCACCGGAAGTACGCACTGGTTAAATGCTTTTCTCTTTAGCTTTATTGGGATGTTTTCCTTAAACACGTCTTTTAGCTTGTCATAGGCTGCCCATCCTAAAGCTATTCTTCTAGATAATTCGCATGTTTGGTTGTCTCTACTTATTTGTATTTCATGGCCCAGATATATGTATTTGTCAACCGTTTCAATATACCAGTTTTCTAGTTTCAATGGTCCACTAAGTACTAAGTTGGTCATCATTTTAGTTTTCGCAAAGTTTATTTCCAGCCCTACTTTTTGGGAGACTCGTTGTAAATCTTGTGGCATTTCGTTGGCCTCCTTTAAGTCGTCGGTTATTAGAACTATGTCATCTGCAAATCGTAGGTGGTTCAGCCTTTCGCCATCGACACTCAAACCTCTGTTTTCCCATTCTAACATCTGGAATGCATGCTGCATTACGGCATTGAATAGTTTTGGTGACATGTTGTCTCCTTGTCTAACTCCCTTTTTAGTTTTATTTTTTGAGTAGGGGTGTGGAGGTTTATTGCTGTTGTGGCATTTGCATATATATGTTGAATAATGCTGGTATATCGGTAGTCGATTCTACAATCTCTCAAAGCTCTTAAGATAGCTACCATCTCGATAGTGTCAAAGGCTTTTTTATAGTCAACAAATACTAGAACTAGTGACCGGTTGTACTCTATGGTTTTTTCAATTAGGGCCTTTAGACAAGTTAGATGGTCATTTGTACCATACCCAGGGCGGAAACCTGCCTGTTCTCTTGGTTGGCATGTTTCTAGTTTGTTCTCAATTCTGGCAGTGATAATTCGAGCAAATAATTTATACAGGTGACTTAGAAGACTGATTGGCCTATAGTTTTCGAGGTCTGTTTGATCTCCTTTCTTATGCATGAGGAGCGTTATAGAATTATTCCATTCAGCTGGAAGACGTCATAAAACGGATTACGAAGTTGAAGCGGAAATGGTCAGGACACGTCGCAAGACAGAGAGACAACAGATGGACAAAGAAGATTTTAGAATGGCGGCCAAGGGCAGACAAGCGAAATCGTGGAAGACCACCTGCCAGATGGACGGACGACATTAAAAGAATAGTGACAAACTGGATCGCAGCTGCACAGGACAGAGAAGAGTGGAGACATCTTGAGGAGGCCTATGTTCGACAGTGGACAAATTTGGCTGTGTGATGATGATTTACCTACTGCTTGGAATATTTTAATACCGCGAACTGCAATTATTACACGCAAACTACAACATAAACATTCACAATAAATTTAACAGGTGCAGGAGGACTGACTAGACTGACTAAACCGACTATCTGGGTCTGAGGAGGAGAGAGGAGAACTTGGAACTTCTCGCGAAGAGAGACGATCGGTTTTGAATTGGTGTTGCCGCATATCAATAAACTTACTTATTCTCAGTAATTTGGTAATTAAGGTTTTATCACGTTTTACTGTAAGTTCAGTGCAAGGGCGGATCCAGAGAGACGGGCTAAAAAATTTGACAAATAAATATACTTTATAAGGTTTGATTGTCTTTATGGCAAGTGCTCAAGTGTGTGAAAAGTGCCTTAAAAAAATTTCGATACCACCGAAAAAATTCACCGAAAATATTTAAAGAAAATTGTCGTAACTAGTAAAAGGTTGAGAAACGCTGCCTTAAATGCTTGGCAGCCCCCGGGAGTCTTGCATGACCATAATGTAAATCTGTTTAAAACTGCATCATTAAAATTTTACTACTAATATGTATTCATTAACAAAGTAAAATCAATTAAATGGTTTTTACCCTCATATTTAGTGGTTTCACTCATGTATACCTGGTAACTGCACTGATGATGTACTTATTAATCCGTAAACGTTTTGTGATGTAATCCGAAAGGGCAATTTTAGAAATATACGTTTTATAAAGGATTTTTTAAATAAATGTTTTTAAGAAAAGTCCATTACGAGACAGTGAAAGAAAACTTTGTAAGATTGGCATTCCTGGAAATGAAGGCTTTGTGGAAATGTTTAGTACTTAGTATAATTAATTTTTATATTGTTTTAAACTAAAATTCTATTTATATTTTAGGGTGACTCAGGAGGTCCTTTGCAAATCAAAGAGAGAACAGGAGCGTTTTCAATTGTTGGAATCGTATCCTATGGAGCAGGCTGTGGTGGGAAAATCCCTGGTGTATATACTCGAGTCTCCCAATTTGTAGATTGGATCGAAAAATATGTGTGGCCATGACAAATAAAGTAGTTAATATTTCTGGATATTGTTTTACTTATAAATATAGCAAAAACTATAAATCCCTTTTTTATGTTCCTTCCTAACCTAACCTAACCTAAAATCTATCCAAGTGCCGACATAGGATCAGGCCACAACCGAGTAGTGACAAAAATTAGACTCAAAATGAAAATAATTCTTCTTCTTCTGGTTCCTATCCGTTTCGGATGTTGGAAATCATATTGGCAATCATAACCTTGCTCGCTGCGGCTCGAAACAGCCCCGTTGAGGTTTTCTTAAACCATGTTCTTAAATTCCGCAGCCATGATATTCTCCTTCTACCGGGTCCAAGCTTACCTTTGACTTTGCCTTGCAATATAGACTGTAGCAGAGAGTAACGGTGCTGATTTCTCATAACGTGTCCCAGATATTGCAATTTTATGCGTTTGATCGTAAACACAATCTCTGGTTCCTTCTTTATTTTTCCTAGAACTTCCTTGTTCGTGATCCTTGCTGTCCATGATATTCTCAGCATTCTTCTATAAAGCCACATCTCAAATGCTTCAAGTTTTTTAATAGTGGTGTCTGTAAGCGTCCATGCCTCCGCCCCGTACAACAACACAGAGAAAACATAACATTTCAAATGTCTCATTTTTGTATCAAGGGATATGTTGTGACTTTTGAAGATGGCGATCATTTTGTTAAAGACCGTTCTTGCTTTTCCTATGCGGCACTTTATTTCCTGTAAATTGCTCCACTGTTCGTTAATAATAGTTCCCAGGTAACAATACTGTTTTACTCGCTCTATCTGCGTCCCATTAATATATAGATGAGCCCCGTTTATATTCTCCTTGCTGATAATCATTTGTTTCGTTATGTGGGTATTAATGTTTAGTCCGTACTGTTGAGTGTACTCGTTTATTCTGTCTATTAGCCTCTGAAGTCCCTCTAAACTATCTGCTATCACCATGGTGTCGTCGGCATATCTAACATTGTTTACTCCTTCACCATTTAGAAGGATGCCTTCGTCTATTCCGTAAAGAGCCTCGTTAAAAATTTTCTCTGAGTACATATTAAATATCAACGGCGATAGGATACAACCCTGTCCAACTCCACGTAGTATTTTTATGTGATTTGTTTCTTCTCCGTTAATTTTCATGTATGCGGTCTGATTCCAGTAGAGTTCTGAAATTATTCTGAGGTCTTTGTCATCCAGGTCTGCCTCTTTTAAAATGTTTATCATCTTTTGATGTTGAATTCTGTCAAATGCCTTTTCATAGTCCATCAAGCACGCGTATACGTCGCAGTTAACGTCCCTGCATCTTTGAATCAGTACCTGTACTCCGAAAAGTGCCTTTCTGGTACCCACTGCGTTAATGAAGCCGAACTGTCTGTCCGATATTTGTTCCTCGCACTTCTTATAAATTCTTCCATGGATGACTCTAAGAAACAGTTTCAACATATGGCTCATTAGGCTGATTGTTCGATATTCTTCGCACTTTTTAGCCCCCTGTTTTTTAGGTATCGCTATGAATTCTGATTCTAGCCATTTATCAGGGATGATTCCTGTATTGTATATTTTATTGAAGACAGCCGTGATCCAAATTATTCCTTCTTCCTCCAAGAGTTTTAAAAATTCAGCTTCGATATTATCAGGCCCTACAGCTTCTGCTTTTCATCCATTTTTCATGAAAATAATAAAACGAAGAAAAACACATGCAAAAATCGATGCAAGTAAATTAAGGAACCCACTCATAAGGCAATGCATGGCAGATGAAATCAACAACGGATTAATGAATGTTAAATTAAAAATTCTGCAAAATACTAAGACACAGAAAAAATGGTCATTAATAAAGACAGAAATAGATAAAAGTCAAAAAGAAATTCTAATACCAACCAGATATAAAAAGAAGCAATGGATGAGGGAAGAAATTTTAGATGTATTGGAATAAATACGTTAATATAAGAACAAAGATAATCAGATGTACAAAAAAGTGAATAAACAAATAAAATACAGAATTAAGAAAGCGAAAGGACAATGGTTAAAAGAAGAATGCGCAGAAATAGAAGAATACCAGAAAAGGCATGATAGTTTTAACACGCATAAAAAAAATAAAAGAATTAACTCACAACAATAGAACAAGAAAACCGGGAATACTGAAAGATGCAAATGGGAAACTTGTGTTGAATACTAACGACAATTAAAGAGATGCACAGAATACATCAATGAACTGTTCAAAGACAATAGAACAAAACAGATGGAAATAGAAGTAGAAGAGGATATGATTTTAAAGATATTAAAAGAGGAAATTAAAATGGCATTAAAAAACAGCAAAAATGGTAAAGCATTAGGTCCAGACCAAATCCCTATAGAAATCTTAAAATGCATGAATGATGAAACCTTAGACATTATAGTAGACTTATTTAACTCATTATACAAAACAGGAGACATACCGAAACAATGGTTACTCTCCACCTTTTGTGCTATCCATAAATATACAAACGCTAAATATTGCAGTGAATACAGAACAATATCACTAATAAGTCACATTCTCAAATTATTCTTGAAAATAATACATGGTCGTATAAATAAATAAAAAACTGGAAGAAGGAATAGATGATAGTCAGTTTGGGTTCAGAAACGGACTAGAAACCAGAAAAGCTCAAAAATGCATGGATGTGAATGTTGATGTGCAAGTTTGTTACGTTGATTTTGCAAAAGCATTTGACAAAGTAAGACATTAAAAATTAGCCCAAATTATAAAGACAAAAACATAGACCATAGGGATTTACGAATAATAACAAACCTCTACTCGAATCAAAGAGCACAAATCATAATAGATAGGGAACAGAAATTGAAATCAGGAGAGGAGTTAGGCAGGGATGTATTATGTCCCCATTACTATTTAATGTATATAGCGAAGCCATTTTTGAAGAAGCATTAATATCTCAAAATGAAGGAATAATAATTAACAGAACATCTATTAACAACATAAGATATGTAGATGACACCGTGATTATGGCAAGCTCTGCTGACCAACTCCAATTACTGCTAAACAAAACAAACAGTTTCTGTGAAAAATATGGGCTAAAAATGAATATAAAAAAGACCAAATACATGATAATAACAAAGAAAATAAATATACCAACAAACATATATTTGGGAAATGTACCGATTGATAAAGGTTGATAAAGACAAATACCTAGGAACCTGGATTTCAGAAAATAATGATCTTCTTCTTCTTAAGGTGCCGTGCATTTCTACGTAGGCGTCCACCGTACATCGTCTTGTCAGATGAGATGTTAAATATTCTGGATTAAATAATTCTGTTTTTAGCAGCATTGCGAAGCATTTCATAGCTGTGGATTCCTGTCCATTGTCGAATATTGCGCAGCCATGACATTTTTTTACGTCCGAGACCTCTCCTACCCTCTATCTTCCCTTCGAGTATCAGTTGCTGAAAAGTGTATCGTTCTCCTCGTATAATGTGCCCCAAGTATGCAGTCTTCTTACTTTTTACATAATTAAAAAGTTCCCTATCCTGTAAGCCCGCTCTTCTGAGTACTTCCTCATTTCTGACCCTGTCCGTCCATGATATTCTGAGCATTCGACGCAGGCACCACATTTCAAACACTTCAAGTTTGTTAATGGAACTGGCCTTTAACGTCCATGCTTTCATTCCGTACAGAAGAACAGGCCACACGTAACACTTAAGCATCTTGTATCGGAGGTTGAAGTCCAATTTGCGATCAGTCAAAAACTTACGAAGCCTCAAAAAAGCATTTCTGGCTTGTGCAACTCTACTCTTTATTTCATTCTCGAGGTCCCAATCCTCATTCAGCAAATATCTCAAGTATTTGAATTGCCTGACTTGTTCGATTTCTTCTCCAGAGACATATATCTTTGCGTTGGGGTAATCATTTCTACTTATAATCATTGATTTTGTCTTCTTGATATTTATTTTCAAACCCGAGCTTCACTTGCAAAAGTTAGATCATTTAAAAGGCATTGAAGATCTTCGATGTTATCTGTCACTATGGCTGTATCATCGGCATACCTGATGTTATTAATAAATATGCCGTTAACTTTAATACCCTTATTAGAGTCTTCCACTGCTTCTGCGAAGGCTTTTTCTACGTATAAATTGTTTTACTTCTGTTTCGTTGGAATTTTGAAGACGTACTGTTGCTGTCTGATTCTAATACAGATTGGCGATGATTTTTATATCCGTTGCATCCAATCCCAACTCTTGTAGGTATTTTATCATCAATTCGTGTTTTACATTATCGAATGCTTTTTCGTAATCGATGAAACAGATAAAAACATCCTTTCTTTGATCTAAACAATTCTGTATCAATGTTTGCATACTAAAGATCGCTTCTCTCGTGCCAAGTCCATTTTTGAAACCAAACTGACTCCATCCACTGACCTCTTCACATTTCTTAAACAATCTAGTGTGAAGTATTCTCAGGAAAAGTTTTAAAAAGTGACTCATTGGGCTTATTAGTCGGTGGTCCTTGCAGAAGTTCGCACGTGGTGTTTTTGGTAGGGCGATAAATGTAGATCGAAGCCAATCTTTTGGAATCTGGCCCGTATCGTAGATGTCGTTAAAGAGCTTGACAATAATGTCTAGGTTTTCTTCATCAAGTAACTTGATTGTTTCTGCGTACATATCATCTGGTCCTGGGGTTTTGTTACTTTTTAATAGTTTGATAGCGTGTACAATTTCAGCTTTCAAAATACTTGGGCCATACAAATGGTCTCCCAGTTGTGGTGGTTTTTGTGTTCTGTCATCATTGAACAAATTGGCTGTGTACATTTTCCAAAAGTATATCGCTAGGGTCCGTTATTAATTCATTTTGGTCATTATGTATACCAGTGATTTGTTTTTTCTTGAAGACACCAGCAATTTCCTTAATTTTCTTGTGAAGATTGAAGCTGTCGCCGAGTTTATATAGGTTTTCAGCCTCGGCGCAAAGTGTAGTCATCCAGATCTCCTTTGCCGCTATAATTTCTTTACGAATTTGACTGTGTATATTTCGGTACCCTACTTCGTCCTGCCTGATCTTACACTGCCTGCGTTGTTCCATCATCTCTAATATTTCTTCTGTCATCCACTCATTCTTGGTAGTTGTTTTACTTTCGAGTAGAAAAGTGTTGTTCAACTCATCAAATGATTCTTTTATGGTGGTCCATGACTTTTCAACATTATTCTCAGTTGTCATATTAGAGAACCTATTGTTTATTTCCTCTGTGTACGCTTCATTTGTTTCATTGTTTTTAAGTTTTCTAATGTTTACTGATGCCTTCTGGTGTTTTCTTTTAGCTGTAGCGAGCCTCAGTTTGATATTTGCTACTAAGGGATTGTGGTCGGATCCTATGTCTGCTCCAGGTAATGCAGATACCTTAGTAATAGCATTCCTGTACCTTCTATTAATTGTCACATAATCTTTTTGGTTCCTTATAATGCCCTGATGTCCATCTAAAGGCGACTTCCATGTGTAAAGCCTCCTGGGTGGTAACTTATACCAAGTATTCGTTATGACTAGATCTTTGTCTTTTCAGTACTGTATCAATCTGTCCCCTCTGTCGTTTCTCTGACCAAGACCATATTTTCCAACTACGTGATCTACAGCTCCTTCCCCAATTTTTGAATAATATGATCAAACAACCGAAATAGCAAGAGCTAGGATAGAAATAGCAAGAAATGCGTTTGTAAAAATGAAAACAATTCTCTTCAACAAAGATCTTAGATTAGAACTGAGAGTAAAGAGAACTGATATGCTACGTGTTTTAGGGACTGCAATATGGACTTGAAAGTTGGACATTGAAGCAAGAACACAGAAATAAGTTACAGTCCTTTGAAATGTGCTGTTACAGGAGGATGCTTAGAATAGCATGGACACAGAAGAAAATTAGCACGAAAATATTTCGAGAAATGGGCAAAGAATGCGAAATAATGAACACAATAAAAATAAGAAAGTTACAGTATCTGGGACACGTAATGAGGGGACAGCAATATGAACTGCTAAGGCTAACAATACAGGGAAAGATAAGAGGAGGAAGGAGTATAGGAAGAAGGAGAGTGTCATGGTTAAAGAATTTAAGGGAATGGTTTAAATGCAGTTCTATAGAACTCTTCAGAGCAGCAGTAGATAAACTAAAGATAGTGATGATGATATCCAACCTCCGATTGGGAGACGGCACTTAAAGAAGAAGAATTTATCAAAACTAAGAAATTTATATCAAAAACTAAATCCAATAGTTGTGCAAACACATCCCAAAAACAGGAGAGTGGGGTTTTATAAAGCTCCAATGTTTATTTAAGCAAGTGAGTACACTAGACAGAGGTAAGTTACTGAACAGTGAAATAAAATAAAAACTGACTAAAATGTAACCTTGTGGTAACTGGAATTCGTTGATGAATTCACTAAAAACTGAACAACTATGAAAGTCAATATTATAGTCATAAGATTAAAATTAGATTTCCCTTAAAAACTTGACAATATTGATTTTACTCTTTTTTAGTTTCTTTATTATTTGAATTACTTCTTCATAACTCGGATTTTCAATGTGCGGCTCAGACGTAAAATATATTGTCTCGTTTTGATCATTTCTATTCTCTACATTTAGGTTTTCCTGAAAGTATTTTTCCATCTCTTTATAATTTTTTGTTTCTCTGTTAGTAGTTCTCCATCCTTTCCTTCGCGTATTGTCAATTTTGGTATAAATGTACTTTCTTTTATTCTTTTATATCATTTTTTACTCTCGTGTCTGTTGTTATGGTTTAGGATTTCTTGTTTTTTCCAAAGCCTCTCTTTTTTTCTTCTGGATATTCTAGTCGCTTGTATTCTCTTTTCGTTATAAATTTCTCTGCTATTTCTTGTGTTCCTTTGAAGTTGGTTAAGTCTAGCTTGCCTTTTTTCCTCTACTGCAGTTCCGCATTCATCATCATACCATTCCGTACTTCTTTGCCTTTTGGCTTTTTAGACAATTTCCTTTGCAGATTCCGTTATTATTGTTTTTAATTGTCTCCATTCTTCCTCTGCAATATCTTCCTCTCTGATTCCGTCGAGTTTTATTTGGAGAGTATTTTGATATTCTTGTGTCTTTGTTGGACTTTTAAATCCTTCAACATTCCATTTTTAATTCGGTTATTTTTTTCCCTTTTGCAACTGTCGCGATTTTCTGCCGCAATTTTGCCCCACAAGATACTGATCCGAGTCAGAGTTCGCCCCGCGATACTTTCTGACATTAGTTATGTCTGTTGCACATCTTTTTTAAATGAGGATCTTGTCAATTTGATTGACTTCATTGGTTCCTGGTATTTTACATGTTCCTTTATGCATATCGTTTCTCTGGAGGTTACCGCTGTCGACTACATAATTATTTGCTGTTGCAAATTGTGCAACATTAAGTCCATTTTGACTGGTTACATTATGCAAACTATGTTTCCCAAATAGGTTTACGAAAGTTTTTTCTTTCCCCAGCTTAGCATTAAAGTCGGCTAATGTTATATTAGGAATGATCAATATAGTCTTCTGCAGGTCATCATGCAGGGTAGAGTCGATAACAAGAAGGGAATAGGTAGAAAGAGGAAGCCATGACTGCGAAATACTCGAGACTGGACAAACATGACTGTAGACGAATTATTCCACGTTGCAAAAGACAGAGAAACTTTTAGAAATGTGGCCGCCAACCTCCGTTAATGGGGACGGCATAGGAAGAAGAAGAATATTATAACAGCATCGTGTCTTTGGATTCTATCACATACTTCCTGAAGTTCTCCATAGAATCTTTCAAACTCGTCTTCATCAGCCTCTTCTGTCGGTGCATATACATTAACCATTGTCACGTTATGCAGTTTACATTTGACTCTTATGGTGCAAATGCTGTCCAAAAACTGCCCAAAAACTTACATCGGTCAAACAGGTAGAACCTTTAACAAGTAGATAACAGAACACAAACGGTCCTTCAATAATAGAAGAACATACTCTAATTACGCACTTCACCTTCTAGATCACAATCATTCTTTTAATAACTAATTACAAGTGCTTCATATTCAAAATAAAGGCCTTAAACTATTATTATTAGAATATATGTATATATTATGAGACAAACAGTTCTCCCTCCTCAACTTATTTGGTTAAAGAATATGAAGTGTTAGACGCATAACAAAAATAGCTCACTTGAGAAAGCACTCTGGCGAAACAGCTGTAGGGATAGTACCTAAATTATAATAAAATTTGTGGAAGTGTTGAAAACAAAAGTTTTTAGTGTTTTATTACTTGAATCAGAACATACTTAAATTATCTCTAGTATGATTAGCATAACAATATGTGTTTTTCCAATTATTACTACGATTAATAATTTGTTGCCACCGATGAGTATGCGCAGATAATTCCCAGTAACTTTTGTTATTCATAATTATAATCAAGTTAACTAAACAAGAGAAGCAGCGGTACAGATGTTAGCCGCTTTGGATCCTGATTAGCGGTCATCAAATCGGTCTTGATAATGAACATGAATGTTTTGTATTTTTAATTGAGAAGTGTGATTTAGAAGTGATGGAAAACCTGGTGTTTATTGTGTGGTGTGCAGTCTCTATTATCTGTGGTTTAAGCCTTTCGTCTGCTTATGAAGATTATGAAAGTAAGTTTTATTATTTTTGTAACCAAAAATTACTTTTTTGAGAAGTATAAAGATAATACTAGCAATATATTCAATACTTCGGCTTGAGATAATATTAATATATACAATAATTAAGTATTTATGATACTATTTGCTAGTTTACTAGAAAAATATTCTTCAAACATATTTTTTAGAAAGGCTTTCTATCTAGACAACAGAAACAACTTGTGGGCCTTGGGGATTTCCAACTATTACGACTGTGACTATATATCATTTGCAGAAATGTTAAACGAATCAATTTCAAATAAAAAAGTCATAAACAAGATCAGATTTGTAACTAAATTGGCTGTTATTTTTGCAACATTCTTTTATAAAATTATAATTTCGTATAAGTTATTTGTGTTCTTATAGATGGTCTTATAGTTGCAATTTGTTGTCACTTATCACACTTCCTTTCGTTTCATCTCTAACTATATTGGTTCTTTTGGAATGACCAAAGCATTACACAAAGCCTTTTTCGTAGTTGTTATTGCCGAAGGTACGTTAATAACAGGAACGAGACTAATATCAGCTATTGTTTTCTGGGGGCTCTAGCTTTTTCTTCAATTTAGATTTCAGAAAATTAATTGTTATCAAAGTTAGTTTTATAAAATATCTTACTTACTTACATACTCCGTGGCGTTACAACCCTTCGTGGGTTTTAGCCGACTCGACAACATGCCTCCACTGTTTTCTGTCTTGAACAACCTCCATCCAATTCTCCACGCCTATAGTGCTTAGGTCTCCTGCTATATTATCTTGCCACCGGAGACGAGGGCGTCCGCGTGGTCTCCTTCCAGTTGGGATTTCCTCCCACACTAGTCTTACTGTTTGTTCGTCAGAATGTCTTCTGAGGTGTCCTGCCCATTGGAGTCTTCTGGACTTTATTTCTTTTATGATGTTATTTATTAAAAAATATCGACTCTGAATAACATTTTTCAAATTTTTCAATATTTTTATTTCATTTCAGCTAACCTTTTTCCCTTTTGTGTCAATAGATCATTGTTTGACTTAGTTTTTTAGATCATAAACATTTTCAGTCTGGGCTTGGATGATAGAATATGGTTTACTCTTTTTCTTTGCCAGTGCGATAAACAGAATCCACTGAGACGGAACATAGATAGAGTTACTCTTACGCATCCTTTTATTTTCTTCCTCTATGGTTGAGTGAACACTATCGCCCTCGTTTTGGGTATAGTGAGGGACAAGATCTATTTGAAATTTTAAAGACCAACCTACTGATAATCCGCTATTGATACCTGCTGTAACACAGACTCCTACAGAGACATTACAGAGTTATACTAACCTTTATCCAACATTCAAAGAAAATTACCGGAGAAGTGTTGAATTTTGAATTATTAGTTTGTTGAAATGTTTTTACAAATTGATCAGAACAATGGTTTTTAGCAATAAACAATCTCGCAATTAACACTATTTAAAAAATACTTGCGGTTATCTTTTTTCTAAACTTTATTTAACACTAAATATTGACAATATGGATCGGTGAACGATGCGTTATTTTTGAGTTCGAAAAGTATTAAAGAGAGTTCTCTAGACTACCACCAAGACATCGAAGGGACGCTTTTTAAATCGTGGTTTGAGAATACCTTACACCAAAATTTAAAAGAAAATAGCGTGATTGTTATGGATCCATTAAAAAAATTCCAACCAAACAGAGTGGGAAAGATGAAATTCAAGAATTTTTAATAGCCGAAGATCTATATTTTGAGGATCATTACACCAAAGATCAACTAATCCAGGTTCTTCATACAAAAGTCGTAACTAAACAACATATTGTAGACAAATTAGCCACTATCAATGAACATATGGTTTTAAGATTACCTCCATATTACTGCATGTTGAATTCCATAGAATTGCTATATGAGCTCAGTTAAAAAACCATGTCCGTAACTGGAAAATCCTAAATGAATGTGAATTTCCGAAGTTGCTTTTATAATAGTAAAAAAACCAGGGGGTCACTTTTTTGGCATCGCATGTGACATGTAAGTAACTAAAAACTATTTTTTAAGTTATACTTCTTTATGCGCGATTAGAAAAAAATTGATGAGAGTGATTTTTTATAAAATTCACAGTATGAAGTACGCGCATATTCACAGCATGAAGTTAGTTGCTACATCTAAATATTTTAAATTAGGTATTAATGCAAATAAAGTGTAAAAAAATATATATTGGTGTTTTTGTTAATTCGATTATATTAGTACGGTGATAAATATTTACTGATGATTCTTCCAGATTGTGTTATTAAGAGATTCCGCCGCTTTACTTGCTTTTAAGCTTTGTTGTCGTACTTCTTCTTCAACATCTTCGTAACTAGTTATAACTATTCCCAGATATCTAAACCTTGCTTTCTGCTTTATTATTTTCCCATCAATTTCGATTTTACACGTAGTGGGTATTTAGATGTTGTCATACATTTCGTTTGTTCTCTTTATATTATCATATTGTATTTATTAGCTGTTGTATTGAAGATATGTATTAATGTTTGGAGCTCGTCTTCTATCTCGGCGATTAATGCGGCGTCGTCTGCATAATAAAATATTTGGATTTCTTTGTTCCCCATTCTGTAGCCATGACCTTTACGTACTGCTTGTATTATTTCGTCCATTATTATATTAAAGAGAAGTGGGCTTAACGAGTCACCCTGTCTGACTCCGCTTTATACTGGTATACATTGTGGTAGTTTTTCATTTATCTTTGCCTGTATTCGATTATGGAGGTAGATGTTTTTGATGGTTTGTATAATATTGATTGGTATGTTTCTTTTATACAGTAGGTGTAAGATGTCTTCGACTTGGATGCGATCGAAAGCCTTTGTCAGGTCTATAAAACATAGATATGCCAGTTTATTGTACTCGATGGCCTTTTCTGTGATTTGTCTTAGTACAAATATATCTTCCGGATCTAAATCCTTCTTGTTCATCTGATAAAGTTGTTAGTTTATTGATTTTGTGTATTAAGACTTTTGTGGTAAGCTTAAGTGCGGTGTTCGGTAGATTTATACCTCTATAATTGTTGGGGTCTTCTTTATCTCCTTTCTTGAACATTGGTATCATTATGCTGCTTCTCCATGCGTCTGGTATCTTGCAGTGGAATATTAGTTTTTGTATAGGTTTTGTCATCTCTAGGGTTATACTTTCTCCTCCATGTTTTAGAAGCTCGTTCTGGTCCTGGTGACTTTCTATTTTTGAGTGCATTTATGGCTATTTCTAAACTTTAGCTTTAAACAGTTCCTTCAGGTATTTTTCCCATTCGCTTGCTGGTATGTTATTGTATTCCTTCAATTCCTTCAAGGAATCTTTCTAGATGATAATTTGGATTATAGTGCTCATGCAGATTACTTAAGTTCCAGGATTGCTACAAGTATACTTTTAATACGCAACTTAATTTATTTGATTCCTAAAAGTACTATTATTAGAGTATTATTACTGTTTGGAGTAATTCTTGTCACGCAGATAGAATTTTTAAAACTACAAAAAAAGTAGTAAGGATACTTGAAAGAGAAGAATATAGGGGACATTGTAAACCTTTATTTCTGGATTTAGATATTATGCTACTACCTTCAACCTATAATATATGAGACGTTGATTGAAGTTCATGCGAACGAAGGTAAGGTTAACATAAACTTCAACTTCCATGATCATGATACAAGATCTGGAGATTCTATTAGAGCACAACGTTTTAGGTTGACAAAGCTCATAAAAAATTCGACTGATGTTAGTTTATATAACTTTTTGACAGATGAAGTAAAAACTCTTTACTTATTATCGTTTAAGCTTAAAATCAAATTACACATTTTAAAACATTGTTTCTTTTCACAGAGTACTTTTTACAGCTTTTACACAATAGTACTAGTTTGGTCAGGGTATTTGCATATTATGACGATATTTTTCATGTTTTTATATTTTTATTTAGTGCATTTGTCGTTTCATAAATTGCTAGCAATAAATATTTGTTTGTAATATTTAAATTGTGACTATTCCTTTGACTTTGTCGAAAACAAAACTATTTTTGTTTTGTTTATTTTTCTGAAGCTATTTTCTTGTGGCATTACTGTTTTCATGGGAATAAGCCACAATTAAACGTTAATGTAAGTTTATTAACGTTTAAATTTCCACTTCGGAAATACAAACTCAAAATACAAACATTAGTGAATCATTTAAACTGTGTTAATCGGTGTTAAACTGTGTCGAATGTTTTTTGGTAGTCCACAAAGCAGGTGTAGACGTCGCAAGTCATATCTCTGCATCGTTGGAATAATACCTGTAGATCTGATAATAGTGTAATCAATTCTTTGCTTTGTTGCAGTTGGCAGTATATGCTACACTTCAGGAACCCCTGGTACTTGCAAAAGTGTCGCAGACTGCCCACAAGCATTAGACTTGTTACGAAAAGCCAATAAACACAATTTTGAAAGATGTCGTTGGAACAAATCGGATGAAATCATATGTTGTCCCGAAAGTGTGGAAAAGAAACAAACAAAGATTTATCCCTATCCGGACGGTGGTACGGAAGTACCTACCAAAAGACCCAACACAGACAATAAAGGACCATCTCCCAAAAGAAAATATCAGCAAGGTAAGAAATGTATCCAAGAATCTTTATCCTATGATTAATCAACACAAAATAATTTTATTTGAGTGTAAAATATATTAAATATAATAATTAGAAAAAAGTTATGTATAGTCCGTGCAAGCACTCTTGACCATGGCGCAGTAGACGAAATTTGGTTTAGTTTCCACTTCCATGCGAAACGCACTATACTATGCAACGTAAAAATATCGACTTGAAAATTTTTAGTTGTGTTTCTGACTTTGAGGTGTTAACTTCAATAAGTTTGTGTGTTTTCTCCCGTTTACCTGTTGCGTATTCAAATTTATTAAAAGCGGTCAAAAGGTAGGTACTTTATCATAAATTAAAATACATAGGGGCGCATTAAGGAAATTTTAATAAAATTTCTTCATTTCTTTTTTGTTTTGAGACTGGTGCAAAACAAAAATTACTTGCAGTCTGTTTTAATTAATCGGTTATTTGATATTGGAAAATCTTTTTTTTTTTTTAACTACTTCATATGTTACGATATATGTTGATTTAAGTAAATATTTTTTTGAAATTTTTTTTAATATTTTTATATTTTCATTTTCTTCACAGTGCCATCACAATTAATAACAGCGTGTTATTCACAGTCAGGGCCGACATATTGTTTACAATGTGTCGGCCCTGGGTTACAAAAAACAACACAAAATCTTCGGTTTTAAATATGGTTGTGGAAGCCACTGAAATTTATAAAAGTAGCATCCAAAGAATCATTAAAGAAGGAGAGAGAGTTTTCGATTTTTCATCTCCTTCAGGCAGCTTGGGAAATGTCTTTAAATCTCTCAGAAAAAAAATTAATCAGGCAAAACCGAAAACCAACGTCGATAGTTATGAGGGAGAAATTATAAGAAACACAGTGCATACTTTTGCAATGATTCATGGCAGCAGGCCTACAATGTCAGCTGTTTACAACGCTGTTAAGAATAAGATTAATTTCCAAGGTACACTATCGTCGTTCAGAAAAGTGTTAAAGAAATTAGGTTTTAAATGGCAAAAAACAAATGACAACCGAAAAATACTGGAAAAAACGGATATTCGAGCCAAACAAACCGAATATCTAAAAAAAATATAGAGCTGAGAGTTATGATGTTATCTACACTGATGAAACGTATCTCCACAGCAGCATGTGAACATTATTGTTCTATTGTTTCTAATTGTTCTTATCTAACCTCATTGCAATTCCTAGTAATCTCTGATTTCTGGTAGATATGACGTATGGAGAATTACAAACAAATTATAAATCAATCATTAGCATTCAACAAATCAGTAAACAAACTATCACTAAATAAAATTATTCGCTGTACCCTTTTTTGAATATCGTTTAATTTACCGTAATAAATACACTTATAAATAAATAAAAAATTAGTTAATTTGTAAATAAATTGTAAGTAGGTACAACTGTTTAAGAATTTTAAAAATAAATTTTGTAAATTAAATGTGTATTAGTTATTCATCTCATAATATTAGTTATATGTCTCAACTTAAAATAAGAGATTGAAAATATAAACTTATAAACAATAATTTTACAATAAATAATAGTGTTTTTTCCATGTTTAATACCGAAAGTTGAGTTTAAAATACCAAATTAAAGCCAGTTTTTAAAAAAATTTAAACAAAAATCATTGAAAATATAAACGAAATGCACATAAAAACCATTTTGGTTATGCACCGTGCAATTTTTTATTTATTACTCATTCCAACACTGTAATTATTTCGACAATTTCGAGGTTGCAGTCGAAGGTAGAACGTTTTAGTTTGGTTAGTATAATTCCACTTACAATAGAATCTTTCTGCCTTTACGTGAATTTTGACTCCACCTTCGCGCAGCTACATGGTCAAGAGTGCTTGCAAGTACTATAACTATTTCGAATCATCTAATACAGATAAATCGTCCCATTTAAACAATTTTACATCTAATTCTGATCCACATAATATTGCTATAAATTCATTATATGGGAATACTTCTGATAATAACGATTGGAATAAATAACTTGATGAATATCTGAAATCTAAGAGCAAATAAAGATGAGGATATTTTAGAATGGTTGTCTGATGAGTCTTTTTTATCTGAATATGATGAAACATTAACATATCATGAACTTTTGTCATGTCAGCCATCACAACAGTCACTACCACACAACTACTGCTCCATGCATACCAAAAAAAAAGTTCAACGCAGGCTCTGACCATATGTCTTTAAAATAGTGCTTACTTACTATGTCATTCGAATAGTTTTTTATTTACGTTATTATTTATGTTAATAAAACAGTTTTTTACTTGCCTTATTGTAACCACTAATCTTTCTTCAGTAGAACTTGGTTTTCCAAAATTGGTAGTGTTCTTTCCAATACTTGTTTTAATTTTATTTAGGAATAGATCAAATGTATTTATGCTCATTCTGAGGTACTGGAAAAATCTCTCTGCGTATTTTCGCAACTGTTTGTATAAATGATGAAATTTCCCGTATGCTTTCCTATATCTAGTAATGGGATGTACACCATACTTCCTTTTGATTTTTAACAAACACTCTATAAATGGATCATCTAAAAGAAGAGCAATTCGACGTTTTCGTGTGAGAGGCATGACGAAAACTAATATTTGAATCGCTTTTCTGTAGACAGCTTCTCGCTTGTCGCTTGCTACATTGTCGTGAACGATATATCTCGCGCGATAAATCGCTCGCAAGCCTGGCCATACACTTAGTATACGTATTTTTATATTTCTAATTAATTATAATAAAGACAATTACATTTATATTAAAATTTGAAAATTGTGCGTTGTAACTTTGAATGAATTTTTCCAAAATAATTTTTAAACTAAAAAAATCCTTTTAATTTGAAATTAAAATTTTGTTACCTTTTATCATTTTCAAAATATCTATTAGTTTAAAAATAATAAAACAACATCTTGTTTCATCTTGAACCTTAATACAAAAGCCTTGTCTCGATCTCGTCTCGAATTCAAGACGAGACGAATTGAAATTCAAGTCTTGAATCTTGACGGCATCCTCAATTTAAATTTTTTGTCACACACCACTCGCTTTCTTTCACTTCATCCATCCAACTCTAATTCTACTGTACGCATCTTCATATGGTTCGCCATTACTCTGTAACATCGATCCTAGGTATTTACATGATATTTTTTCGAGAGAAATATTATCAATGCAATTATTACTTGTTATATTGTAGCCTTTACATTTTCCTATATACTGGAATTCCCTCGTATATGTATTAAATTGAAATCTCCTCATATATGTATTAAAATAAGATAACCGGAAAATGATTTCAATGTATTTCATTTCCTATTCGTATGTATTAAAACACCGAGTTCTTTCAATTCATCTTAGCGTCCCGAGGTCGAAAATAAACACATTTTTAGAGTTTGTTTATATATTTTATAGATGTGTACTTCCTCGGCATTGTTTTGCGTTTCATATTCTGTGTTTCAAATAAATATTCCGGTTAAGTGTTTTGTTTATACCAAGTTATGCGAATTAATTTTAAAGATAATTTCATCACTCTCGTTGAGGCGTTGTTAGCGTTAACATCTGCTTCTAGCGTTTGTCCTTTCACGTCGAATTTGTAAAGTTTCCTGTTTTTGCCCCTTTTCATGGAAAATGTGTAGCAGTGTAAAGTTTAATGGTTCAGTTGCAGTTTTAAGTGAGTTTTTAAATGTTTCCATTGTATCCAGTCGTACCTATTCCTGTTTTTAAAAAGCCAAGTCCAGTTTAGTTTCCAAGGTTTGTGTTCCAACTTCCTTTTGTTACAACTCAAGTGTAATTTTAGTGAAAATCAAGGTAACTTTTTTTGTGTTTTATTTCAAAGTAAATTAGACATTTTTTTAATAACAATAATTGCTTTTATACAATTTAAAAATTATATATATATATATATATATATATATATATATATATATATATATATATATATAGTACAGGTTGTTTACAACTGTCGTTGTTTTCCTGTCAATAGTTTCCATCGTTTCCTATCTCGGGTGTCGGCTTCATTTAGCTGTCTTCCTTCCATGGCTTCATTCACGTCATCTCGCCAGCTTCTTCTTGGACGCCCTCTTTTCCTTCTTTCGGTTGGGATCCATTTTAATATTTTCTATGGCCACCTCTCGTCTGCCATTCTGTTTACATGACCGAACCAAGTTAGTTGTTTTTTCTGGACTTCATCTATAATGTCTTTTTCTTGCTCCATTCTACGTTTTATTTCTTCATTGCGGATTCTGTCCATCCTTGTCAATCTACAGCTTCTTCTTATAAAATCCATCTCGGTAGCTTGTAATTTTTTCCTGTTTCTTTCACTAGTGTCCCATATCTCTGCTCCGTATGTTACCACCGGCTCAACCATCGTCTTATATATTCGTTTTTTCGTCGTTCTTGTGATTTTTTTTCCCAGAGAATGGAGTTTAGGCATTTGGTAATGTTTCTGCCTTTGTTTATTCTTGTATTTATTTCTTCATGGCTATTTCCGTCTTTTGTAAACACTACTCCTAGGTATTTTACTCTATTTGTTCCTTTGATTTTGTCACTCTCCAATGTCAGGTCTTCGACTGTATTTTTCCCCACTGAGAGATATTCGCATTTTTGTAAGTTCATTGTCAGTCCACATTCTTCGTACGTTGTTTGTAGTTTCCTAACCATATAGCTGAGATCGTCTATATCTTCTGCTACCACTTTTGTAGAGATCGATCCAGATATACTTTAAACAGCGTAGGCGATAAATAACATCCCTGTCGTAGCCCTTTCGTAGTGTTGAATTTCTCACTAAGTTTGCCACCTATTTTAATTGATGCGGTGTTGTTTACATACCACTTTTGAGTTGCTATTATTAACGAAGGTTTTATTTCCATGTTTTGCATTTCACTCCATAAATTATTTATCGGCACGTTATCATATGCCTTTTCAAGATCTATCAGGGCTATATGTGTTTCTTTGTTTCTTTGTTGTCGCTTTTCGATTAATATTTTAAGTGTAAATAGATTATCTATAGTCGATCTTCCAGCTCTGAATCCGCATTGTTCTTCTGGTTGTTTCATACGAATGTCTTCTTCTATGAGGTTTCTAAGTATTCGGTAGTACAGTCGTCCTATAGTGGGGATGACAGCAATTCCTGTATAGTTAATGACATTGTTTCGTGCTCCTTTTTTGTATATTGGGGTTATATAGGCCTTACGCCATTCTAACGGGGTCTCTTCTCCATTCAGGCATCGTTGGAACAGATCTTTGAGCATTTCCCACAGTTTAGCTGAGCCGTATTTAAAATTTAAAAATTTAATAATAATAATAGTCTCCCGTTTTATACCGCACGCGGCTTTGGGAGTATAGCAGGGTAGTCTGCTATATCTAGGGCCTACGGTATACAAGGAAGGTAACATGGCCAGTGCTACGCTTCAACCGCCTATTATTACCCCTGGTTTTACCCAAGGTACTCATTTTATTCAGGCTGAGTCGACCTGGGGCCTATCGACATTTTAAAAATGCCTAGTTGTTCTTGCCGGCGGTAGGATTCGAACTCACGACCACCGGCATGCGAGGCAAGCACACTACCGCTTGCGCTACGCAGGCCACTAAAATTTAAAAATTTAAAATTGTAAATTTTAGGGTTTGACTCTAGCTGTCAATTTATTTGTTCTCAGATTTAAAATTTAATGTTAACATATATGACAGCTAGCTTTATTATTTTTTTATTAGTTTCTTTTTAAATAAGGTTAACCTACATGCAGCAACAATTTTTTATAAGTTTTTGTAGTATCTCCAACTCCTAGTTTGTAAACGCCTAGGACACATGTAAGTTTTTCTTTTTTATTTTTGTACTCTGTAACTATCTATATAGAAATGTGTGCCATTTATTGTTGTAACTATTTGTGGTGAGATACAATAAATATTTAATTTTTTTCTAACCATTTTGTTTATTTATCTCTCTAACCCCCTTTTTTGAGTTTCATGTAAAAAAGATATATTTTTTATTTTTAATAATTATTTTAATGGTTAGAACTAGTTGTTGTGATCGTTATAATTTGGCACCTCAAAGTGGCGTCCTTTTTAAATTGCTAGAGGTGTTTCCTTTCTGTGTTTTGTTTTGTCCATTTGTTCCAGGAGATTCATGTTAGTACTCCTTTGGTTTATTTTTTTGTAGTTGCCCCAATCCGACACCTTGCCATTTACTTATCCACGACCCCAGCTCTCCAAACAAACTCTGAGTGTCATTCGCATAAGTATCGTTTATTTTGCTTGTCCTATCTCCACCCCAATAATTTATGTTCCCAATTTTCAACCCCCCATAATAATACCCTATGTGGTAGGCAAAATATGTTCGTTACAATGTTCTAGTTTTCTTGAATTGTGATTCTGTTAGTTGTTACGTAATCATGGTTAAAGAAACTAAAATTTGTATAGATAAATAGGAAAAGCATTTTTCTTTTTATTTTAGCTTGCGATGAAATTAAAACAGAACCTAGACCAAATATTACTTTTCACATCGTCATACTCGGTGAAGACGCTTTGGACAAGGAGTTTCCACATATGGTAAGAATAAAAAAATACTGTTTATTGTTAGTTTTGTATATTGCAAGATAAATAATTATATAATTATATGACCAACCGCGGAAAATTGACCATAAACAAATGAAAATCGAGTTCGCTTCATAGTTCATATTCATAAGAAGGTTAAAATAGTTGCTGCATTCACATCTTAGCAGTAAAACTTTGTTTAGGCACTAAATACGTACACCTGTTCCGCGCTTAGCTATTCATTTGATATTGTTAAGAGAACAAAAGAGACAATCTTCAGCTAAAAGTTAGAACATTTTTTACAGCGGCACAAAAACCTCATCCACGTAATGCAGTAGAAAGAACGACATTACCACGGTATTTAGAGGGAAGACTTATGAATATAGATGTGCAATTAGAAAAACAGATTACTAATTTAAGAAGGTATTTTCGAATTTAGACTGGATCTACATCGTCGATTTGCACAGTAGATGACATCATCATCTTTGGCTCGACAATCCTCTGTGGATCTTGGCCTGCTCTAAGATTCGTCGCCATTTTGTTCGGTTTTTGGCAACATGTTGCCATCTTCTGATTTTTAATATTCGTAAGTCGGTTTCTACTCCATCTAACCACCTAATTCGCGGTCGGCCTTTACTTCCTACAGGTGTTCCTGTGGTAAGCTTTTTAGCAATGGTATTTTCTGGCATTCGTATTATGTGTCCAGCCCATCTAAGTCGCTATGTTTTAATGAACGTTATGACATCTGGCTCATCAAAGAGCTGATACAATTCAAAATTATATCTTCTGCGCCACTGCCCTTGGTCGTTTACAGCTCCAAATATTTTGCGGAGTATTTTACGTTCAAATATTTCCAAAAGTCTTTCATCTTTCTGCGTTAGTGTCCATGTTTCTGCTCCATATGTGAGGACCGGCCTCAGCAATGTTTTGTATATAATAATTTTAGTTCTTCTTTGAATGTTTCTTGAGTGGAAATGCTTTTGGAGTCCATAGTATGCCCTATTTGTAAGATTTATTCGTCTTTTGATTTCTTCGCTTGTTTTATTGGTAGCAGTCAATAGTGACCCAAGGTATGTGAAGTTGTCAACACGTCCAAAGGTATGACTTCCAAAGACTGTTTCTCGTTCCTCATTTGCTATCGGATCCTTTGTAACCAACATGTACTTGGTTTTGTCTTCGTTGATGACTAGGCCGACCTGTTTCGCCGCTGTTTCCAATTCTAGGAGATATTGCTCAACATCTCGCTTGCTACGCCCGACTATGTCAATGTCATCAGCATATGCTAAGACTTGTATCGATCTGTTGTAAATAGTACCACCGTAATTTGCAGTGAGCTCTACAAGAAGGGTGGCGATGCCCTACTACAGACACTGCATAAGCTTTTACTTCTTGTTTGGCATAATGAGACCATGCCTTGTGAATGGTCTCAAGGCGTGATATGCCCGTTACATAAAAAAGGTGACCAGCTCCAGTGTGACAACTATAGAGGTATAACCCTGTTAACAACTGCTTACAAAATACTAGCAAATATTCTCTACGAAAGGTTGCAAGTTTACACAGTGGGCATAGTTGGTAAATATCAAGTTGGATTCACTCCAGAAAAATCAATGATTGACCAGATTCATTCAATAAGACAGATTCTCGAGAAAACATTAGAATTCAATATTGAAACCCATCACCTATTCGTCAACTTCAAGGCCGCATACGACAGTGTCAAGAGAACAGTGCTATACCAATCAATGCATGAGTTTGGTATACCAGAGAAACTTATCCGACTAACGAGAATGACAATGTCTAACTTAGAAGCCACTGTTAGAATACAGGGAGAGAGTTCTAGATCCTTTGAGATAAAGGATGGACTCAGACAAATAGATGCTCTGGCTTGCCTTCTATTTAATATTGCCTTAGAAAAGGCAGTCCGAGATACACGAATTAGGGATGGCGGTACTATTTACAATATATCGATACAGTAGATGACATGACACCTCTTAAACTGATGACTCCAGAAATGCATATAAACCACCTTTTTAATGACGACAAAATACGCATATGCATGGTAAAATCATTGCTTGTGCGACATTTAATAAAGTCAGCTAAGACTGTGTCGACAATATAGCGTCAAACTATTGGTTGACATCAGGGAAGATATTTTCTGAAACACAACGTTCCTTACTTGCCATTTAGGATCAGTTCATTTTCCAAACCTAAAATATATTGTCACATATTCTCAGGTCCAAAACGACAAATGCCGATAAGAATTTCAAGCACAAGAAACCATCCAACATCTTATCGGATGCTATCAGAAGTAATGGCAGAACTCAGCTGAAAAGATCCTTCATCAAGAGATAGCTAACAAAGTGGGAACCATCTTCCCTATTATAAATTCGGCCCTAACAGTATGGTTGGGAATGACAATTTCAAGCTATACTGAAGCCGCACTGTGTTTACAGACTAACCAGTGGCGCATAAGAGAATAGATATCATACTATTTAATAGAGTAATAATAAAAACAAACAACACTAATATTGAGACTACCGTATACCTAGCGGGGTACATTTGCTGTGATTGGTGGGAGGGCGTGTCTTAATTTAGGATTTGGCGGGTTTAATGTTTATTGAACTGAAAATAAGTTATTGGTAGGAAGAGGATAATATTCGTATTTTAGGATTAAGCAGACTTATTACAGTTATATTTGAAATCTCTTTAATTTTCCTACACTGAAAATAACGAGGTAAATTTTCTGTGATTGATCGGTAGATGTTTATTAAAATGTAATTTGGGTATTGTTGTTTGTTTGTGTTTAAATGACTGCAGACACTAAATCCATTCGCCAATCTTACAATTTGTACTCATTTTTTAATTAGTCATTGTTTCCTATACAATCTTATCCTAAATCTATTACTTCTATTGAGCTCTAATATATAGTCTTTTTTTCTATTAGGTGCTTTTAGTTATTTATATATAAAATAAGTGATGAGGTTTCTTGTAAATAAGCCTAAAAAGCTATAATAAAAATTCAATACAGATACAAAAACAAAAAATACATGTGAGCTACAAGAATTGTTCAAATTTAATATTTAATCAGTTTCTTTTTTTATTGGAAGGATAAAATTGCTGCTTTTCCATTTTTCGCTTCTTTGTAATATCCTTAGTGGCTTCCTGAATTTTTTCCTTCGCCTTACACTTTGCTTCTTCAACAAATGTTATAATTTTGTCTTGTGCTTGTGTATAACTTTCATCATCTAAGTCAACTAAGCTGTCTATGACATTTTTTAAGTGTTGTAAATTTTGAAGACATTGTTGGATGGTGTTTTCCTGGATCGCATTTCTCTGTTCCAGCTTCTTTGTGATAAATTCATTAATTTCCTCATCATGACTTGATTTGATAATTTTTTACTCAAACACCTTGCAGCATCATCTAAAACAGAGTTAGTACCCACACGCTTCTCATACATTCTTACCAAGTGAACATGCTTACACAGGGTATTCCTCACCACATAATCAGCACAATCACACTAGTATCGATGAATACAAATTTTACATACTCTACAAAACAATGTCTTACACTCATTTTCACACAGTTGTCTTATACTTACATTATATAATTTATTAGGATCCCTAAAGGATTTTACCTGAAATTGCCCATACACCTTCACATTCTTCCACTTTTTCTTTCATCATTACTGCTATTTTGTGCGCTTTTGCTATAACCCTGTCTTGATAGTTGTTGGCATTTGGTCTTTCCATGTCTATAATTCTCTTCCACATTTTAATATCCACTAAATCTTCCATTGTGTCCAATAATTTTTCTATTCTCACTGCAGCATTTCTTGTTAGATGGTTCGTTTTTAATAAGTTATTGAAAGATTCGATGGCCATATTGGTGTTTATTCCTGAATTTCTTCTGTAGCAATGGGCCCACATTTTAATCCTCTCTTTATTCTGAAAGTAAATATTGGCCAAGCCAATATAAGAAACATAACCTCACAAATCATAAGTCAATAAACATTAAACCCGCTAAATTTTTAATTAAGACACGCCCTTCCACCAATCACAGCAAATGTACAGCAAATGTACCCCGCTAGGTATAAGGTAGTCTCACTAATTGACGTGGCGATTCCTAACAGTAATAACAAAGAATATAGATAATATTCTTTGGTAATAATCTGCGTGTCAAATGTAACAGAAAGATCGCTAAGTATAAAAAACTGAAAATCCAAATACGGAGACAGTGGAGAATGAAAAGAGATCAGACAATACATATTATTTTCTCTGCTTCTGGTATTTGTCAAAAAAACTTTCCCAGAAAATATAAAACAGGTCGGTCTGAGTGAACTTCTTTATAAGTCTAGATGCGTACGAAAATTTTTGGGAGATAATCTAGTATATTGTGTCATATAGGCCTGAGTAATACTAAAAGAGTGCCATCATAGTTTAATTTTTTTAATACCGTTACTCTCTGAAATGAGTAAATTTAGTGGGATATTAGTAAAATACAAGAACGCTTATGGTATATTAACACTCCACACGGATTCTTATGGGAAGGTTACCGGTCAAAAAATGTGGAGAAGAAAACAATGACCTGGCTACATCATCCTTAGTGTCGTTGTTTTTCGAAAATCCACGTATTTTAAATACGAATTTCGAGGTGGAAATCAAGATCTTAAATGTAACGAATTTTCAATTAAAATTGTTGTTTATTCTCATTCAATATAATAGAAATGCCACAAGAAAATGGTTTCAGATGCGTATTAAGGAATAGTTAAGAAACAAAGATCTGCAAAGAATAACTGGATCGAGAGAAAACTATGAAAAGTGACAACCAGTGAGTCATCATATTCGCTATAAAATAAAATAAACTTATCTTTAATATAACTAGAAGACAATAAAACACTGAAAACTTTGTTTTCAAACTTCCACAAAATTTATTTTAAATATTATCACTACAGCTGTTTCGGCTGATTGCCTTTCTCAAGTGATCTATTTTGGTTTGGGTTTACAAATTTATAGTCTCTAATGAAATAGGTTAAGGAGGGGAGAACTGTTTGTCTCAAGTTGGTCGTTCAGAATTATATCTGTGTTTTTTAATTTGTTGATTTCCATAGATTCTAACAAGGATAGCTTAAGACCTTTATTTTGAATGTGAAGAATTTTAAATTTGTCATTAAAAGAATGATTATGATCTAGACGGTGAAGTGCGTATGTTGAATCTGTTTTTCTATTCTTGAAAGCCCTTTTATGTTCTGCTATTCGTCTATCAAAGTTTCTACCAGTTTGACCGATGTAAGTTTTTGGGCAGTCGCCACATTGAAGTTTGTACACACCACTATTTAAGTGTTTTTTATTTTGGCTCTTGTTATTTTTAATATATTTGCCTAGGTTGTTATTTGTTCGGAAAGCTGGTGTTATTCCTTTCTTTTTTATGTGTTTGCCAATTTTTGTTGTTATTTTGCCTGTATATGTAATCTAGCAGAAGGTACTGGGTTTTTTCTCTGGTGGTGGAAATACTAATTTCAGGGCTTTCTTGTGTAGTTTTTGATTTAACATTTTATTAATTGTTTGTTCGTTGTATCCGTTGTTTACTGCTATTTGTTTAATTATATTTAATTCTGTCTCAAAGTTGTATTTTGACATCGGAATTTCTGTTAATCTATGTAACATACTATGATAAGCTGCCAGTTTATGTTGTGTTGGATGGGATGACGAATTGTGTATAGTCGTGTCAGTATGGGTAGGTTTATGAAATATGGAGAAGTCATGTTTGTTTTGAAGTCTGCTAATTTTTAAATCTAAAAAATTTATGGATTGATTTTGTTCTGTTTCTATTGTAAGTTCAATATGACTATGAAGTGAATTAATATATAATAAAAATTGGTCGAGTTGCCTGTTAGTTCCTGTGAAACATACCAGTACGTCTTCTACGTATCTCCACCAATATAAAAACTGTTTGAATACGGGATGTTTTGAAATCTTTGTCTCTAGATGATCCATAAAAATATCTGATAACAAGGGGCTTAGAGGATTACCCGTTATAAGTCCTGCACAGTTATTTGTATATATTTTATTATTAAATTCAAAGTAGTCCTGGTTTATGCAAACTTCAAGAAGATGTAAAATTTCAGATGTAATTATTGGATTTGTACTATTTTGGTCTAAAAGCTTTTTTACTAGAATAAAAGTTTCTGTAGGAGGGATACTAGGAAAAAGATTTTTTACGTCAAATGAAATTAATCTGGAGTTGTTAGGTAATTGAAAATGTTGTATTTTATTAACTAGTTCTATTGTATTTTTTATGATAAATAATGGTCTAAAATAATCTCTAACAGTTTTTTTGAAATTTTATATGACGGAGCTGTATAAAAAGAAACTACAGGTCTTATTGGGTGATCCGGTTTGTGTAGTTTAATGAAAGAATATAATTTAGTCGAATCCATCAATTATAACTAGAAGAATCAAAGGTGTATTATTCTACTTAGTGAATTTTGTTTTCAGGTAGCCCTTGGCTACGAGGACAGTATGCTTCCACCGGGAGAACTCAGCTGGAATTGCGGAGCAACTCTAATCTCTCCCAATTTCTTGCTGACAGCGGCCCACTGTGTATCTAAAGAGAAACCTTTAAGAGCTCGTTTGGGAGTGACAAAAATCAACGATACCCATCATCAAGATATCGATGTTAAGAGAATTAGAATACACGAGTCTTACGATCCGTTAGGGAAACAGGGTGATCTTGCCATTATCGAGTTAAGAAGAAATGCCACTTTTTCCGATAGAGTGAAGCCAGCGTGTCTATATTGGAAACATGACGATCCTCTAGAATTAATTGTAACAGGATGGGGGAAAACGTCTGTCTGTAAATATTATGCTATAATTAGACTTTTACCTTAAAAATTTTACTAGAATTTTACTTTAAAAAGAAAATGTTAGTATTTTTAAGTTTAAAAAATTTTTAGTTAACGAAGATGATAGAAGTATAATTTTACAAAAAGCCAAATTGGTTCCTGTATCTATTAAATCATGTAACAATACATACTCTACTAGATCTTTGGGTATTCGAACAATTCAAAATACTCAAATTTGTGCTTTTGGAAATGCTTCCGACGCCTGTTGGGTAGGTTTACTTTAAATATATTAGCAAGTTAACCAATGATTAAGAGTAAATTAAATTATCTATTGTTATAGTTTATTTTTATGAATGAGAGAGTAATTAGCATAATTTTAACTGGTACCTCCGACCACTCCATGGGCGTGCTCAAGATTAATTGAAAAATTGCTTTGAATAATTGTAAAAAATAAATGAATTAGTTCAGTGTTATAAAGTGTTATGTGTATGTAAACAAAAGTGACCTCTTTTATCACACACTATATTAGAACTGACTGGCCTACATTAAAAAGGGTTTTAAAAAATTCACATTTTTTTTAATTTTTAAAAATTACAAAAGAGAAAAAGAGTTTTTAAAACCGTCTAAGGTATGTTAAATAGATGAATAAAAATATTAATATAAAACTTACAGCTACTTGTTACAAATCCAAATCAGATTCAGAAGATGAACTTTCAGAACCAAGATTTATAATAACTGGCTCGATCATTTTATCAGTAATATTGTCCAGCTTCCACATTTTTTCCTCTTCTTTAATAGTGTGATTTACTGCCTTTTCCCAGTTTTCAGGTTTTACATTATTTACGGCCTCCAAAAACAACTGTTTAACATCATGAATTTTAAAAGTGGTATTTTTTCTTAAAACTTCACTCTTTATCTGTGCCCATACCAGTTCAATCGGGTTTAATTCACAATGATATGGTGGGGATCTAAGTACTGTCATTCCACGATTTTTGGCAATTTCATCAATTTCGTATTTTTAAAATTTTTCTTTATGAAGGGCACACAACGAATAAAGTTCCTTTCTTATAGATCCGGGATGGTACGTAATATTTTTTGAATTCAGCCAATTCTGCAAGTCTTTTTTTAACCACTTGGTTGTGGGCAGTCCTTCTATAAGTCTGGAGTGATAACTTGCATTATCCATTACTATTACACTATGTCTTCATTACTACATTAACTACATACACTACATTATGTCTTCATGGTAGTGACCGGTACGAGTTGATTCAAAAGTTAATTAACCACCTTCAATAAAACCGTCTGAACTGCCAATGTGTACTATTATCAGCCTGCGTCCCTTTCCTGATGGTGGGTTTAAACCAGTAGATAAGTTATTTACAAAAGCGTGCCTTTGACTTGTAACAGTTTCATCCTGCCAAAATTTATTTGGTGTATGACCCTCGTTGATCCATGTTTCATCAAGATAAAATATTTTTCTTTTTTGGTTTCTCATTTCCTTTATGGTTCTTAGAAAATGTCTTCTCCATATGACAATATCGCTTCTTTCTAATAAAATGAACTTTCTGGGATTCTTTTTCCAGCGGAAGCCTATTTCTTTTAAAAGTTTTCATAACGTACTTCGACTCATTTCTGGGTAATCCTTATCATCTTGAACTGAGACAAGAACTTTATCCAATGTTGTAAATTCTTGTCTAAAGAAGAATTCATGCACTTTCCGTCGAAGTCCTTCTTTAAAATGATATTCTATTTGAAATTTTGGTTTCCCTGGAACATTACGTGGCATTTGAAAACTACCACATTTCTCTTCTTTAATAACTCTGTAAATCGTAGATTTCCCAACACCAAGTGTACTGCTAACTAATTCAACGGTCTCATCAACACTTTCACATAAACGTTTGTCTGTAAATGATTTAAAACAATTAAATATTAATGTTTTTTAATTAACTGTTAAAGGACCAATTTTTCGGCGTTTACACGGCACTTCCAAATTTTCCATAACACTAGTATACACAATAAACTGCACCTTGCAACTGAAGTACCTACTTTTAGTGAACTGTTAAGAATTTTGAATACGCCACTTGGACCTTCCTACAAAATGGAAAAACCCACTATCACATTTTCTGTGGAATAAGTTTAGAAGGTAATTATCTAGTCAATTACTGTCGTAGATTCCTGGAATTAAAGAATTAAATGTTTGATTGTTGAAACTCTTACTTCGTGGAATGCACTCATTTCAGATAAAATAAAACGTTTTATTTTATCTAAAGAATTAAACTTTATTTTGCAAATAGGTAGGTACTTATTAAACTTTTATTGGTTATATATAACCAATAAAATAAACATCTTACATTTCTTGCAAATTCATTAGTACCTGTTAACCTCCATCACTCCGACACTGGCAACCTTATTTAGGGATTAGTAACCCTCACAACTATTGTATTCTATTCTGCTCCAACCTTTATACCTGGTGGTCATACTCAATTTAAAATTGTTTTCCTATATACTTCTGTAAACTTGTTGACAAATATCTGTTTTTCATTGAGTCACCCGTATCAACAGTTTAGGGATTTGCATACATAATTTATTGTTTTATTACTCTCTCATACATAAAAATACACTATAGTAAATGTAATGCCATTCTCCATACCGGTTTGTCTGAGGGTGAACTTTATTCTTACATCTTGTTGTATACAAAGTTCAAAATGACCATCTTAACTCAAAACACAAAGTAAGCCAAAAATAGTAATTACATTAGAAACAATCAGATGATAATTAGAAATCGATGGAGTCACCATTGAACAAATAATGAAAATAAAAAATTTTGAGATTACAATGTTTGGCTATGAAAACTATAGAGAAGTGAGAGATCAGGTACAAAAAGTAAATAAACGGACAGAGTAACTTAATAAAACTATATGGAGAAAGCTCCGCATTTCAACAAATGAAAAAATTCCTAGTAAACTCTACGTTATCGTTGGATATCCGATACCAATTTATAAAAACGTTTATTTATTCCATATTGCTACACGGAGTGGAAACATGGAGTCTCGGAATTACAAATATAAGGCGTATAGAAGCCTTTGAGATGTGGGTTTTTCGAAGGATGTTGAAGATCTCTTGGACAGATCACGTAACCAACAACGAGGTGCTAAGAGGAGAGAATCAGGGTACTGAGAGAGAACTCCTAAATATTGTAAAAAACAGAAAAACAGAAGAAGATGTCCAGGAAGAAGAAAATGCTCCTGGTTGAAGAATGTAAGAGACTGGACAGGCATGTACACATATTCGATACTAAGATAAAGAGCAATTTGCTGTAGTTATAGCCAACCTTCAGTAATGGAGAAGGCACCTTAAGAAGAAGGAGAACGCTACATTAACACTGAGCTTCTTCTTCTTTTTTTTTATAAGCAAAATGCTTGTTCAATGTCGATTAATGCCTCTATTGGAGGTTATCACTCCATCTTTTGCGTGGTCGCCCGATACTTCTTCTACCTTTTGGTGATTTGTCCCTCGCTATTCTGACTATTTAATCGGGTCTTTTCCATTCTGTTTATGTGTTCGTTCCATTCCTTTTTTCTGTTCAGTGTCCACTCATTTATTTCTGGTATATTGCATTTTCTTCTGATCTCTTAACTCCTCATTCGATCCCTCAGTGTGTTTCCTGTAATTCTCCTCAGTAAACGCATCTCCGCTGTTTCTAGTAGTTGCTGAGTTTTGGAGGTATCCGGTCTTGTCTCTGAAGTGTATGTCATTATTGGTCTTATTGTTGCTTTGTAGATTCTTGATTTCACGTCGGTATTAATGTGGGGATTGCGCCATATCGTGTTATTAAGACAACCTGCTATTTTATTAGCCTTTTGTACTTGATTTTTCACTTCCTTCTCCACATCTCCGTAGCTAGACAGTGCAAAACTTATAATTACTTGAAAACAGTAACAATCAATAGAAAAAGCTTAGAGGACGATATCAACAACAGATTGGAAACTACAGACTTAGAACACTGCACAAACAAATTATCGAATATAGTCCAGTATGAAAAAGAATAGTCCTGTGATGTCCTCTCGTAGGAGTCACTATCCGGGTAGCTTTTGGACAGTCAGAGACAGAGTTCAAAATAAAAATAAAACTTTATTGTCTTCCTTAAATTAAATTGACAAAAATCTTATGTACATATTTACAATTTGGTTTAGTCTTCTCAGTACCTGGCCTATTTATTCAAATTAAGTTTGACCTTGTCATATTGTGTATTTGAAAGTTTACGTGAACGTTGTATCGATTTAATAACAGCGGACGATAGGTACAAAGAAAGGAAAGGAACTCAACACGTTCCTTAAGTGATTCGGGTCAAAAGGACACTCCTCGACAGTCTCAACACGACTGCTTCAGAGTACGGGTAATGAAGAGCTCAACACGCTCTTCGGGTAACGGCGGTATGGAACGGAACAACTTGTGAACTCAACACGTCCACAAGCCGGCGTAGGGAAGAAGAGAACCTTCAGTCAACACCTGTCGATTCTGCCTCTATGAGGAAATGTTGCGGTTTATATAGCGGAGCTTGGTAATTAGTTTTGCCCTTTCTACTGTCGATACACTCCTACTTCATGGGTTGGTTCGCGCGCACGCTGGTTTAACGGTGATGGCTTGGACTCATCGTTACAGTCCAGTACACGGCAATGAAAGAAAAACTTTGTCAGATGAGTATTCTTGAAAATGGAGACTCCGTGGAAAGCCTTAGTGGTAGACTTGTAGTATAATTGGTATTATTTTAAAATAAAATTGTATTTATATTTTAGGGTGACTCAGGAGGTCCTTTGCAAATCAAAGAGAAGACAGGAGCATTCTCAATTGTTGGAATCGTATCCTATGGAGCAGGCTGTGGTGGTAAACACCCTGGTGTATATACTAGAGTCTCTCAGTTTGTAGATTGGATAGAAAAATATGTGTGGCCATAATAAATAAAGTAGTTAATAGTTCTGGATATTGTTTTACTTCTAAATACACCAAAAACTATAAATCCCTGTTTTTGTCTTCCCTGACTAAACTATCATTCATACCCCTTCCTTTGGCTGCCTTTAAACCTCGGATATCAAGATATATAGTCTATCCCTTGTCTATGTGTCTCACGATGAGCAGTGGAAAATTCTTTATAATTAGAAATACTGCAAACGTCTTCTTAAAAGGAGGTCATATGCCAAACACTGCTACCATTCACTATTTTATATTTGTTACTTTTAAATTAGAGATTAAAAACAAGAAAATTAGAATATCTTGGACATATTACACGTGGTGAGAAATACCCCTGCTCCAATTGATTATGCAGGGAAAGATACAAGGAAAGAGAAGTCTAGGGAGGCGTAGAATGTCATGGCTCCGCAACCTGAGAGTGGCCTCTCAGGTTGCACAAATGAACTTTTCAGAGCAGCCGTCTCAAAAGTCCGAATAGCTATGATGATTGCCGACCTCCGCCGCGGAGTTGAAAAAAAAAGACTTTGAAATTGTAATGCTTTATTTCTTATCATTGATATTATTAACATTTCTATTTATTCTGTGCTTATTTCGGGCATCATTTCTGATTCGGGTATTTTTTACTGCTTTTTCAATTGTTTTGAAGAGACAGGTTGATCGTTCTCGGAACAAGCAATCAAGATGCCAAACCGTTCACAGAGGTTTCTTAACTTCTCGTTTTATTCTCGCTTACTTTATTTTGTCCCGCAGCTAAGCAGCTGAAGTAGGGCATATGTTCTTCCGTTTATCATTAAATGTGATTAAAGCTTCATTTAATAATACTTGGAATACAGATTAAATAGTAGTGAAGAGAGTATGGCATCATTGTCTAACTCACTATGCCTTCACGTGCATAAGTTGCACTTTCTCGTAGTTCGAAGATTTTGTTTTAATATCAATAAAATCACTGGAAAAGTTTTCTCTATACTTATTATTAGTAATAATTCAAATATTCTGATAATATTGTAATCAATTTTCTTCTCTGTTGCAGTTGGCAGTAAATGCGATACCTCAGGAGTCCCTGGTGTTTGCAAAACAGTCAGAGACTGCCCACAAGCAGTAAACTCGATACGAAAACATCATAAATATAATTTTAAGAGATGTTTTTTTGACAATATGGTTGAAATCATATGTTGTCCCGACAGTGTGGAAAAGCGGCCTACAGAGATAGATCAACAAAGAAAATATCAGCAAGGTAAGAAACGTAGCTAACAATATTTTTTGGCATATTTTAATGCTTGTTCAGTATGAAAGTAAAATATCCTTGTCTTCATTCTGAGCAGTAGAGCTGTAATAGACTTGTATTACATTCATTTTAACTTTACGAATATGAAGTTGTAACATCAATACTCTTTATTATAGGCATTAACTGGCCATCTGAAATCAGTAATTCACTGGTCACTTCTTTTTTAAATTATGTAATTTTCCAACGTTCCCTTTAAAATTTTTACATTCCTCCCTGGCCTTATCTCTTATTTCAATTTTCTTGATGATTATACTAGGGAAGAGTAATGGAGTAGTTTTAGGTTATTTTCTTCGGTTTTAAAACTTTTTGCGACTTTGTCCGATGCTTAATTTCCAATACACTCTATCATCCCATTGGTCCTCTCTAAGATCTCTTGCGCTCATCGCCTTCGTTACTCCCTCTCTCCAAGATTTCTTGGGTTTTCCCTCTCCCTCTCTTTCTGTGGTTTGGTAGTACCCATTGCATAATTATTTTTGGGAGTCTTGAGTTATCCATCCTCTGGACGTGCTCGTGCCATATCAGCTGTTTTCTTTCTATGTCTGTTATTAGAGAGCCGTCTACCTCCATTCGCTGTCTTATCTCGGCAATAAGTATTCTCTCTCTGCGTGACACTCCTACTGATCTTCTAAAAGCGTCCATTTCTACTGCCTCCAGTTTTCTTTTGTTGTTTTCGGTTATTCGCCAAGTTTCTGCTCCGTACAATAGACTGCTTTTAATAAGAGATTCGTAGATATTGTGTTTTCTTCTTTTTCCTATTTTATGACTCCACAGTACACTGTTTAGACATCCTATTGTTTTTCTGGATTATGTTATCCTTCTCTTTATTTCTTCATCATCTTTCCCCGTTGTGTCAAAAACGATTCCTAGGTATGTGTAATGGTCGCAGGGCATGATGATTTCGTTATTTTCTAATGTGATGTTTGATAGTTAGTGCCTATTGGGAGGTATTGTGTTTTTTCTGTATTAATTTCTAGTCCCCACTTTCTATATTCTTCTTGTAATTTCCTTGCCATGTACTTCAGATCATCTTTATCGTTTGCTATAACAACCTGGTCATCAGCAAACTGCAATGTATACAAGCAAATCTCTCCAAGGTCTACGCCCATGCCTCTGCATTTTCGTTTCACTCTTTCAATGCTTTTGCAACATATATTTTAAATAAGGTCGGTAATACACAACACCCCTAACGTAGACCTTCATTAACCAGGAAGCTTTGCGATAGTCTGTTTCCAGTTTTTATTTGTGATGTTGACTCTTCATACAAATTTCTTAAGGTTTTATTAAGGTGACACTAATATTCGTCTGTCGTAACACGTTCCAGAGTTTGTTTACAGGAACTGTATCGTAGGCCTTCTGCAAGTCAATAAACATGATGTGGGTTTCTTGATTTGAGCTTAATTTTTTTTATTATTAATTGTTTGGGGCAGAAGATATATCAGTGCAGCTTCTTCCTGTTCGAAAACCGGATTGTACTTCTTCCTCTTTGTCTTTGTATTCTTTCTCAATGCGGTCTCTAATTATTCGTCCATACAAACGGCTGAATGTACTAGTGACTGATATCCCTCTATAGTTTTCACATTTAAGCTTATCTATTTTCTTATGGATCGACGAAATATAAGCAATTTTCCACTCGTCGGATACGGGAGAACCATTTATTAATTGATTTATGCACCAAGTGACGGTTTCAAACAATTTTTGTGATCCGCATTTTATTAGTTCGGCTGGGATATCCCCTGGTCCTGGAGACCTACCGTTTTTCAGTTCTTTTATAGCTTTTCTAATTTCTGTCACTTATATTGTTATATCTTATTCTTCAATATTAACCTCTATTGGTGATTGAGTTAAGTATTCGTCCCTATTGTCTGTCAGTAGTTCCCTATAGTACTTTTCCCATTTTTGTGTGGATATTATTTGAATGTTTGTGCTTTTCCTTTCGTTAGTTCTTATTTTAATGAGGAACTTCCATGTTTCTGTACATTTTCTGCCTCCCAGGTAGGTATTAATTTCCTGGCACTTCTTATCCCACATTTCTCTTTTTGCTTTTACTGTTTTTACTACTATTTTCTGAGTCACAGTCTTAAAAATTCTAGTATCCAACAATAGACCGATCCAGGATCATTCTCCTTGCGCATTTTTAATTTAAAACATGTCTATTTACCTACAAGATCAACCAAGTATTCCAACATATAGGTTAACACAATTTCTTAATTAATATGTTTTTGAAAACGACTTCTAGATTGGAAATCAAAATATCAATACCAAATATAAAATATGTTCACAAGGAATCTACGTTCCTGTAGTTGGCTGTATACCATATATTAAAAAATTTATTAAAAATCCTTTGTAAGGTATATATCAAGAACCCAAACGGGCTAAGTTAAAAAGACAAAACGTTTTCGGAATCCATATTCCATCATCAGTGTCTAAGAGTACATGAATGTAGCCACTAAATATATGGGTAAAAACCCGTTAACAAATAATTAATTACATTCAGTTTACAAAATTTCCTATAATGGTTTAAGATGTTAAAGTTACCGTTGGATTAGGTAACATGGCGACATATGACTCCACGTTGAAGTTGCTAGTCTTGAGACAGTGTGTCTACGAAGACTGTATGGGAGCAACTTTCAGTAAAACAGTTGCGTGAGCAACTAGAAGAACGCGATGAAGACTGCAGCGGGTCCAAGAAGATCCTCCAAGAACGACTAAAGAATGTTCTTAACAAGAACGAAGATGACCCAGAGACATTCCATTTTAATCAGCAGAAGAAGCAGTTTTAATGAAGATCGAAGAGAGTTCCAGAAAAAATGATAAGGAATTTGAAAATGTCTCGCAAGTGATTGAGGAAACTTCAAAAAAATGATAGTAAATTTGAAAACGTGCAAATGATTGAAGAATCTTCTAAAAAAAATGATGATAAATTAGAGAACATTTCCAAAAGATTTGATGAAACATTCGAAAATGTATCTAGAAGATTCAACAAGACAAATTTTTAATCATGGTTTAAATTCTCGACGGCTAATATTTAGGGATTTGTAAATATTTCCTCGTTTCATTTTTGTCGAATAAACTTTGAATCTTACTGAGTTGGACAAAGAACAACATAATTGTTGGAATCACCATTGTTTTATAAAATTTGATCTTTGTATCTATTTTCCAGTGTTTTCTTACGGATTTTCTTATTTTTTCGCACATTATTTGGAAATTTTTTAATTTATTTGTCGATATCTTGGTCATAGCCAAAAGATAAATCACAACTCGAATAATTAAAGCTCGACATTTCTTCCAGAGACCTGTTATCAACGTAATTATTGATTGTAATATTCTGATTTCCCCGAATTGCTATTCCGTTAGTTAATATTAAGTAATCATGGTTAAAGAAACTAAAATTGCTGTAGATAAATAGTAAAAGAGTTTTTATTATTTTAGCTTGCGATAAAATTAAAAAAGATGGAGTAAATATTAAGTATATCACATTTGGTGAAGACGCTATGGACAAGGAGTTCCCACATATGGTAAGAATGAAAAAATACTGTTTATTAGTTTTGTAAATATTGTATATAATAATATAATTATAATCCCAAGAGTAAAAAATTTACTATTAGTAAATGAAAATCGAGGTCACTTCATAGTTCATAAGACGGTTAAAAAACAGTTGCTTCATATTCGCATCTTAACAGTAAAACTTTGTTTAACTTTGTAAAACTTTGTTTTTGAGTTAAAGTAAATGGTAGCAAATCAGAATATAACATTTACTTTACATAGGGAGAGTGTACCATCTGTGCGTATAAACAATATCATAATACCCAGAAGTGATGTTAAATACTTAGGTACAGTGAAAGGACAATGGAAAAGCTCATCTGGACAAAGCGACTGCAATTGGGATTAATATACAGGAAAATGTATTGGTTCATGAACCAAAAATCCAATTTACGTTATTCGACTTAGTAAATTTTGTTTTCAGGTAGCCCTTGGCTACGAAGACAGCATGCTTCCATCAGGAGAACTCAGCTGGAATTGCGGAGCAACTCTAATCTCTTCCAATTTCTTGCTGACAGCGGCCCACTGTGTATCTAAAGAGAAACCTTTAAAAGCCCGTTTGGGAGTAACGAAAATCACCGATAGCCATCATCAAGATATCGATATTAAGAGAATTAGAATACACGAATCCTACGATCAGTTAGGGAAACACGGTGATCTTGCCCTTGTCGAGTTAACAAGAAATGCCACTTTTTCCGATAGCGTGAAGCCAGCGTGTCTATACTGGAAACATGACGATCCTCTAGAACTGCTTGTAACTGGGTGGGGAAAAAAGTCTGTCTGTAAGTATTGTATTGTAATTAGGCTTTTACCTTAGAAATTTTACCTTAAAAATACAATGCTAATCTTCTTTGCTTTTAAAATTTTAGTTAACGAAGATGATAGAAGTATCATTTTACAAAAAGCCAAATTGAGCCCTGTATCTGTTTCATCATGTAATAATACATACTCTGGTATATTTTTGGGTATTCGAACAATTGGAAACACACAAATTTGTGCTTTTGGAAATTCTTCCGACGCCTGTTGGGTACGTTTACTTTAAATATATTAGCAGGTTTGGCATTGATTTAGCGCGAACTACATTATTGATTATTACTTAAAGAAATGCTATTCTCTATTCCTTTTTGTCTAAGGGTGTTATTTGTTTTTACCAAATCTCGTTAGATGAACACTATATCAGAGAACTAGTTCTCTGACTATATGGCGAAATATTGAGAATAATTACAGGAAATACTTAGAGATACCCAAAGATGAGCAACGACACAAGAAAAAATGTAACAGAATTGCTAATAAAGAAGAAGGACAAGAACTTCCATTTTTTGTGCTTTCTTCTAAATATAGATCATCTTTTTTATAGGCTTCTTTTCTGTTGTTGTTTTATGACTCTGTCGATGGGGACATTCAACTAAAGTTAGTCTATTAGTTAAGGTAGTCTGATTTGACACCATGAGTATTACCATGACAAGAAGTTTACTACGAGTTTCAAATCAAATATATAAGAAAAATATAATAACAAACACAACGACAAAATAGGAAAACAAAAAACAAAAACATATGGGAATGAACCATGATGTAATCTATCATGTATAGTAAAAAAGACTAGCCTAATAAGCACATCTTAAGAGTAAATAGGAACACTGCATAAACAATTTACAGAATAGAGAGAGTCTGGTATGAAGAAGAGTCCGGTAAGAGGCAGTATACAGAAAAACCTAGCAAGATCAGGATTCAGGTAAAAAAAAAATTTATTGTGCAGGTGAAAACTACGGAAATCCTTATTAATAGTAGCATAATTAGTGTATATTCTTTTAAACTTAAATTGTAATTATATTTTAGGGTGACTCAGGAGGTCCTCTGCAAATCAGAGAAGATGCAGCATTCTCAATTGTTGGAATTGTATCCTATGGAGCAGGCTGTGGTGTATATACTCGAGTCTCTCAATTTGTAGATTGGATCGAAAAATATGTGTGGCCATGATGAATAAAGTAGTTGATAGTTCTGGATATTATTTTACTTATAAATGTAATAAAAACTATAAATCCTTAATTTTTTTTTTGACAAATAGCTGTTTGGTTTCTTGTTGCTACACGATACCTATCAGTGGTTTTGCAGCATTGATTTGACTAAATGTTCCTAAAGATATTCTAAGAATGAAAGTACGAACAACATGTATATAATTTACTGTAAAAGTTTATTTTCACATTTCAATTTCCACATCAGAAATCATTCTCAATCACCTACAACTTATGTTTTTAAAAAATAAATAATAAATTTATACAGGTAGAGTATACAATTATTGTATACTACTAGTATTCATGATTGTGAAATATATGTTTCTGACAATAATTTAAACAATCTGTTAATTATGACTCAATGTCAATGACTGTTAAATATTCCCACAATTAGAGAACCATCTATATAGTCTGCATGCTTAGCTTGTGAATATTTTGATAGATTCATTGTTATACAACACAATACCTACTTCTCAGTATTAATAGGTCAAATAAACTTATTGGTGTAGACTTCTTTTATTGAAAAAAGAAGAACAGTCATGAATAGTGGTAGTAAATATTCATTAAAAACTTTCCATTTGTAAATACTAATCTATATACCATTACAAAATTTCAAAAATAAATTTTTGTTTTATTTGATGCTGTTTTAATTGTTCGTAAACTGCATGTACACATGTTTTTGTTAAAATATTGGCTATGAGCATATACATTTGGTTGTATCGTAATTTCCAGCCTCTGCTAGACCTAGTTGGTGAAAATTTATTCATCTTAGCAAAAAGTAATTACTAGACAAGACAGTTAAATACTCAGCAAACTCAGTATACCTTTATTACTTTTCAGAAATCACTTTTATCAACAAAAATAATTAAATAGACAACAGTAGAAATTAACTCATCATTATACAAAATAATAGTTTATTAGCATACAAAATCTACATACAGCTCTTAAAATGATCATATCAAAGGCACAAGAAACATGTATCTTACAGCCAATTCAGCTATTTCCCAATCCATTTAGAAATTCTTCCAATTCCTTATCAAATACTTGCTCATTCTTGACACTTTCTGATAAGTGATTCCCATTCTCATTATCGATATTTGCTTGTTCTAAAGAGCTTGGGTTCAAATGCATAAGTGTAGATGAGACCAGTTCATCTAGATCAAAATCTGTGTTGTTATCACTATTATTGTCACTTCCATGACAAGATTTGTATTTTGCTTTGTTGGTTTTAGGATGTTTTCGAATTCGTTTTATTTCCTCCAGCCTTCGTTTAACTACAGTGCATTTATTGTTTGTTGGATAGCTGCAAGAGATATTAGTGCATAAATAAATTGCTTCTGTAAAATTTATTTGCTTCAACTGTAACTCAGTATTACACAAAGGACAATACATTTCTTTTTACACCAAACAAATTAATTCATTTATTTATTCATTGAAATTTTACAAAATAATAGTCCCTAACCTAAAAGACCGATATGAAGTTTGATACATAGGTTTGATAGGAGGTTAAGTTTTCCTCTTCTTTTTCTAGTAGAAATTTATAGTATTTACACGTACACATAATCACGATACACTCAATTAAAGATAAGATAATATCACAGAATAATGAACAATCAGAATGCCCACTCTCTATGGAAAATTAAGTACGCGCATCTCCTTCGCGCAGACCTTCCGCCATGTTTTAGAGGGAACTGGAGGGAACCAGTGTTGTTTATGTGGTGTGTATAGACAAAATTAACCCGGTTTAATTGACTTACGGCAATCATAGATATACTATACAATTATATTAACATTGTTAAATATAATAACATAAATATAATAGACTTAAACATAAATATAAACAATGACGTATAATATATAGACTACGCAGTCCCCTATTCTCGCTATAGAATCGAGTGTCCGAAAGATCTCGGCTCAAGCACAGAATAATAAACAAACAGAATGCCCACTCTCCACGGAAAATTAAGTACGCGCATCTCCTTCGCGCAAACGAATATAATTAAACATAAATGTAAACAATTGCATAACCTCACAAATCATATGTTTGTCCTCCTAAAACATGGCGCGCATGCTGAAAAACAATGACGTATAATATATAGACTCGGTGAACCCTTTAAAAAGTGTCCAAAACATGAATACCTTTGTTATTGTTTATTGTTTTGATACGAAGATGCACGAAGTTCATGATTTCTTACGAAGCATCACGAAGTTGATCTTGTGTTTGAAAACATCATGGACGTATGAAAACATTTTCTCCATTTTGTGTGACAAGCAAATTTTATTTTAAATTGTTAAGAGTTATTTACTTACTATTTTAGTAAAATGCCATACTATTTTATCAAAATAATTATTTCTCTTATAGACGGGAACAAAAAGAAATCATAAATATTTAATTTTAATTAAAAAAATAATTATTGTCATTAACATATAAATGAGCACGCCGCTGTTGTGATAAACATACCTTCAACCTTGAGCCGAGATCTTTCGGACACTTGATTCTATAGCGAGAATAGGGGACTGCGTAGTCTATATATTATACGTCATTGCTGAAAAACTTCAAAGGCGGCATCTGAGAGTGGCCCTTCTGATTGTTTATTATTCTGTGGCTCAAGGTTGAAGGTATGTTTATTAGAACAGCGGCGTGCTCATTTATATGTTAATGACAATAATTATTTTTTTAATTAAAATTAAATATTTATGATTTCTTTTTGTTCCCGTCTATAAGAGAAATAATTATTTTGATAAAATAGTATGGCATTTTACTAAAATAGTAAGTAAATAACTATCAACAATTTAAAATAAAATTTGCTTGTTACACAAAATGGAGTACGTCCATGATGGTTTCAAACACAAGATCAACTTCGTGATGCTTCGTAAGAAATCATGAACTTCGTGCATCTTCGTATCAAAACAATAAACAATAACAAAGGTATTCATGTTTTGGACACTTTTTAAAGCGTTCACCGAGTCTATATATTATACGTCATTGAATATAAACAATTACATAACCTTACAAATCATATGTCTGTGTCCTTCTAAAACATGGCGCGCGTGCTGAAAAACTTCAAAGGCGGCATCTGAGAGTGGACATTCTGATTGTTTATTATTCTGTGATAATATCATCGAGCAAAAAGATAAAAGAGGGAATGTAAAGGTAGTGGGGAAAAAAAAATTGTTAGACAGGAAGTGCCATCTTGAGAGGTCACTTTAAACAAGGAAAGACAGTCTCTTTCCTTGTTTAAGAAGTCAAATTTAGTTTGGTTATGTTATTGTTTGTCCCAACTGTCACATGAAATTTTATTTATATTGAAGTTTTTTACCAATTATGTCACTTTTTAGACTATTATCGTTGATATTTAATTAAAACTTTCTTGTCTGAAAAATATTTTACAGGTATTGTTAACAAGTGTTGGAAAATTTAAATTTAGCGCCTTTGCATTTCCGGATATGTCCGCCATCAGAGGCCACTTGTTTGGTCTCCTTTTCATAACGATTAGATTCCCTCTTTTATCTTTTTGCTCGATGGATAATATGTTGAGCATTTGTTGGCGGTTCCTATTTGGCGCGATTACGTCACTCTAAGAGTTGTTTTAAAAGTTAGCGTCTGTTAGTGTGCTGTGGCCACTATAGACGTACTGGGTCGTTTTTAAAATCGTGAAATCTGTGTTTATTTAAGCTTTTGTGGCTTTTTTTTTATTAAAATGAGGTTTTATTAAAATTGGGTTTTGTTCTTGAATAAGAGTTACAAAATCTGCCTAGAGTTTATAGCTCTAGATAAAAATTTTTATTGAGATGTGAAAATTTTAGAAATCACTTTTATTGTAAAATTGTAAACAGTAGGTAACATGTGCCTCTACAATTTTGAATTGTGATTTGAAACTGCCGAAAATAAATAGTTCTTCAACTTAGATACTTGGATTAAAACCCATATTACAAAAAAAAACCGACGTAATACAGCACCAATTCACAGCTTACTTTACTTTATCGTGTCCAGACATGTCATTCATACAATTTCGGCCTAGTATCGGGCTACGTCGATTCCATCTTCGTTGGCGAGCCACAAATCTTCAAGAGCACATAGATGAGAACAGTTTCTGCATGTAAGAAGATGTTCCTTATTCTGTGTTTCTCCACAGTCACAGCTCACATCATCTTGGTCTATTTTTCCCCATTTTGTCTATTTTGTTTGATTTTACTGTAGCGACTCCCGTTCTACACAGGACCAAACCAAATACACAGCTGATAATGAACCCTTCGAATTTTTTCGACAAAATGGCATATCTTGGATGCAACCTAAATAAGGAATGGGACCACTCACAGGAAATAAGATGTCGTATAGAAAAGGTGACAGCTGTCTTCAATCGCCTCAGGAAGATTTTATGTAATATGCACCTGAACATTGATATAAGAACACGAGTCTTGAGATGCTATGTATTTTCTACCATTCTATATGGAGTTGAAGCCTGTACCTTGACGGAGGCAACATCCAAACGATTAGAAGCCTTCGAGATGTGGTGCTACCGCCGCATGCTCAGAATTTCCTATATACATCATGTTACAAACAACACTGTGATCCAACGAATGAATAAAGATCTTGAAATTATGCGTATCGTGAAAATCAGAAAGATGACATACTTGGGGCATGTGATGCGCAATGAGAAGTATCAACTAATTTTACAAGGCAAGATAGAAGACAAAAGATCTCAATGGCGCAGAAGGACATCGTGGTTGAAGAACATCAAGCAGTGGGCAGGAACGACTACCATACATCTATTTAGAGCAGCTATCAACAAAGTTGTATGGACCGACGTGATTGCCAACAACCACAGAGGATAGGCACCAAAAGAAGAAGAAGATTACAAAGAGAACTAAAGTTTACAACTCACTTTTTTTATGGGAATATTTTTTAATAGGTACGTGACGACACAAGGTTAGTTCGTAATAAATCGATGTATTAGATCGATAATATAGCAGGAGACCTAAGCACTATGGGCGTGGAGAATTGGATGGAGGTTGTTCAATACAGAAAACAGTGGAGACATGGTGTCGAGTCGGCTAAAACTCACGAAGAGTTGTAACGCCACGGAGTAAGTGTGGTATTTTCAAACCCTATGTTGAGTTCCTTTCCAGCAAATTTATTGTTCGGGTGAAAGCAACTAACTTCTGTTTTGGATGCATTTGGTTGAAGTCGCCACTTGCGAAAAAATTTGCCCAATATATGTGTCTGCCGTCAGAACTTCTTCAGACGTTTCTAGTGTTCTGCATCGTGTAGTGAGGGCCCAGACATCGGCATATCCGAACTTTCTTGATTGTGTTTCCGGCATATCTGCTAAGTATAAGCTAAATAGTAGTGAAGAGAGCACTGATCCTTGTGGTAGGCCATTCTTAAGTTTCTTTGGTCATCACTACTTGAAACATTATGTCGTTGAGCATGATATCTAGTAGGCGTGCTATTGGTTTACAGGGGATTGCACGGAGAATTTTGTATATAAGGGCCTCTCTCCATACTGTATCGTAAGCTGCCGAGAGATCAAGCAGCTGAAGTTTTAAGTCTTACCTGGCCTGCGCAGCTTCGTTCTGGTCGAAAACTCGCTTGTTCGACTGGGATTACCTGGAACAGTCCTGTACTGATTCTATTATATATAAGCCTCTCTAATAGTTTGTAGATGGCAGAGAGAAGCGCAATTGGTCTGTAGTTTTTTAGGTTGTCGGCGGGTTTGCCTGGCTTTATTATAGCTATTATCTTAGAACAAGAAAGGAAAAATACAGTATGAGAATAAAAAAACCAATTATTTTTAAAAACAATATATTTACATTCATATCGCATCTGTAACAAACTCCAATATATTTCTTACAAAATACTTAATGTCCAGTGAAAAAGTCACTATACACACTTTGCTTATTATACCAATTGGTTAGAATTTTATAAAACTTAAAATCGACGATTTTCTTATTAATGTTTAAGAATTTAGTCCTTATTAGAATTTGACATATTTTTCACTGTCCCAAAATCACAACAAAAAATTTATTGCTAACAAAACTATTCATCAAAGATATTTTTGGGACATTCCAGTATTGCGCATTTCAAATAACGATTCGTTGATGTAATCAAGAAAATTAATAAATAATGAGGTAACTCAAGAACCAGTATGACACTAATTTTAATCTTGTGATGAACAATATTCGCCTCCCAAAAATCAACTCACAATAAAAAATAAGTTAAAAAAAAAACAAATACTATTTACAAAATATACATCGATCAATATTCATTGTTGGACCATTCGATCCGGTCCGAAGGACCATATCAGCGAATGTCAGCAGTCAGGAACAAAATTGCGCTTTTGAAAAGTAAGCAAATATTTTCCAAAAAGCACACAGAAAGCAAAAATAGATCATTGAGTAACATATCTGATTTAATTATCAGATCAATCAATGTTAATAATTTCAATGAATTTTGATCAAATGTAACAACAATTTTGGATGTATCGGATAATTTTAACAATGTTTTTCAGATTTTGTTAGTGAATATAATCATAAAAGTACAAAAATCTTCACTATGCAACGCATATGAAAGTTTTGTATTGATTTCATTCATTCGCAAAATCTGAACTAAGTACAAAATAAATTAGAATACTTGATGGGGCAAGTTTAAATAAGAAAACTTAATATACCCTCGTTCAAAAACATCCACTCGATGAGTTTTTTATTATTATAAATTTATATTAACAGAAATCCCACAATTAACGGCGAAAAATCATACCGTTCGAGTTACCAGGTCTTTTTTGGACCGAAACTGCTTAAAATTATTGTAACAGAATATTATTTTTGATTTTGAACGGGAGTTTATTAAGATACAATAAAAAACAAGCTATGAACATAAACATATATTAATTGTTTCGACTGGAATACGTAGAACAGTTACCATACTAATCAAAATTAGTTCAAACATATACAGAGTGGCACAAAAATTCATTTGAGTGTTCTCAATGATCAATTCTAACTTCAATTTTAAAGTATATTAGGTATTTTCCACTCTGTATATGGCAACTTCATTTGTAGCTGATATTGGTCTTGGTATTTCTGTCAAAGAAATATTTAAGCATAGTTTCTCATTAGATTCCGTTCAATTGAGTCTGAACAGCCTTGATAAAATGTATATCGGTGCATTAATTTTAAAATTAGGCATATTTAAAGTGAATGGCAACATTGTATATATTGAAATGTAGATAACGTTCACAAAATTAAGCTCACTTCTAATCTGTAAATATTTTTCGAGAATCGGTCATCTCATCCGGTTGTAGGCCTGGAAGTGTGGGTTCAGAGTCATTAATGTTGCCGCATTTGGCACTTACTATAATTCCCTGTGCCTAATTGAAAAATTAACGCAATGCTAATGCATACATAATTCAAAATATTGAAGTTTTGAAAAAGACTTGTTTTTTATTGCAAATATTTTTGGAAATAGATATATAACTATGAACAACAAATAAATTATCGAATATACTGTAGATATATCACAAAAATAAAATACTTGACTTGATTTGTTCAATCGAAAAATAACTAGAAAGAGCACACAACCGTCATTCTTGTTCGTTTTTAAGTACGCGCCCCTTAGATTATGATTAAATGTGCTTAAAGACAAAATATACTAAATTCTGAAATTATGGAACCACTAAAAATATAATTATTAGCTTTTGAGGATAAATATATGAAACTTCGTGTAAAGTGCGAAACATGGCAACGGTGTAATTTCAATGGTCGTAAAATGTTGTTTCTTTTTGGGACCGGTGAGTTTTCGTTTCAAACCTGATGCGGCGGGGTTCTGCGATCGGACATACATAACTCACATACTAAAAAAGGCTTGAAGTTAGCTTGCACATTAGTGTATTAGATGTAATAATATACATCTGATTTGATAACTTCGGTATTAGGAAATCTCTGTACGTTTCTAACAGATTTTCGATTTGAAAAAAGTGATAACATCTTCATTTTTGTAGACCATTATAGTTATGGACGTTCGAAGTACTTTTTCTGCCCGTTGTGTGTGCAAGTACCTGTTCCAATACAAAAGTCACGAAGAACTGTAGATAGAGGATCGCCAATACATGACAGACTTACCTGATCTAAAATAAATGACTTAAAAGCTTAAGAAAATCGAGTTTATATTGTATTTGTACTAATCAATGGCACTATGTGGTAAAAAAACATTAAGAAAACTCGTTTTCTATGATAAATCATTTTAAAACAAACTTGCCTGACACAAGTCAAAGAAAAGTAAAATGATAATCAATCATATGTCACTTGTCATACTTAGTGACAAATTATTTGACACTGTTGACATATAATTGAGGTTAGGTTTCCATAATTTCAGATACTATAATAGATTTGACAAATTCTTGAGTAGCTGTGGTTGCGGTTTAATATAATTTTTGCGCTGTTGCATAAACTAGTAAGATCTAATTGCTGGAGGTACCGTGGCACACTCGCTCTTGTCTAAGGTATCGTCGATGACTTCTCTGTAGGTGATGTTGACCTTACCTGTCTTGTCGTCGATTGTGGTCAAGGTGTGCTTTCTCCAATGCTCTGACGACGGTTTCTACAAATAAATAATTATAAACGAAAAGGTGGAAAACATAAATAAAGAAACATTTGAAGAGGTTGCTGTATATACGATACCTTTTGTTGTCCTTCCAATGGTTTACTGTAGTCGTATTCGTCAACACGTAGCTTGTAATCCTCTCTTGCGTGAGCACCTCGTGATTCTTTTCTGTTTTCTGCAGCGACGATTGTTTGTACGGCATTTAACATCAAGTTTTGAAGCTCCAATGTTTCTACCAAATCTAAAATAAAACAATTTATAAGGTAAATGTTACACAACTGACATAACTTTTTCTATTTTACGAACGTAACACGTTGGTAACACTTGGCTGATGGTTGTCGTCTTTATGTGTAAATATCTGTAAAAAACTATAAAAGAAAAAGACTCACCTGTGTTCCATATCAAGCTGCTGTCAGAAACTTTGAGATCCTTCATTTTTCCGTACAAATTCTCCATTTTGGTAACGCCTTCTTTCAGTGTGTCTTCAGTACGGAATACTGCAGCATGGACTTGCATGGTCTTTTGCATTTGCAATCTTAAATCGGCTGTGCTGATGCCACCATTTGCGAATCGGGCCCAGTCCAGGTTGGCGACAGATTCTTCACCTGCATTCTGAAAAGAATTACATAAACGTGGTACAACCTCAGATACAACACACTTTTTAAAATCATTTAAAAATTGGTAAAAATTAAACACGAGTTAAAAAATAAGAGCCCACATTTGTAAGAAAGATATCAAGACAACGTTCAATTTCTTTCTTGCCCTGTTTTACTAAACTGTTACAAAGGAAATGAAGAAACTTCACTTATATTTCTTTTTTAGACCCTCCGTTCTTTTTTCTGGGGTCTCTTCCAGGGCATTCTTTCTACGTGACTTCTTGGCTTTAAAAACTATGTCCTTTCCTTCTATTAACTCTTCCAATTTAAAATTACTTTTTATTCTTTACTAAAGACTAATTCGTACATTTTTCGAAGTATTTTTCTTTCAAAAATTCGAAGAGAGGACTTATCTGGTTTTGTCATGCACCAAAAGTTCCAGCAGCAAAGGTAACAACTGGTCTTCCTAGCGTCATTCTTTTGGTTTAAGATTTCCAATATCTTCAATACGCTGGCAGTCAACAAAAAAGGTTTCTTTTTTCGCAGGAGTCTACTTTAGACATTCCTACCTTTTTCATCACTACTTTGTTTTACATCTCCCTGTAGCATTGCTTGTCGGGAAGCAGACATTTTTCTGTCTATCTATCTATCTAATTAGCCTTCTTCGGTCCATCTTTGGACATAGGCCTCCCCAATCCTTTTCCATTCTTCTCTGTCTGTCGCTACAGTCATCGATCTAGAGCCCACGTGCTTCTTGATATCATCTGCCCATCTCATTTGGGACCTTCCTCTGCTTCGTTTATATTTCTACGGTCTCCAACTTATAAGAATTTTGTTCCATCGGTCTTCTTTTTGTCTTATATTGTGTCCGGAAATCTCCATTTCAATTTTGCAACTTCTTGTCTAACATCCCTCACTTTTGTTTTCTCTCTTATCCACTCGTTTCTCTTCTTATCCATTAGTCTTATGTGCAACATTTGTCTTTCCATTGCTCTTTGGGTTTTTATGATTTTGTCCATGTTTGCTTTTGTAGATGTCCACGTTTGGGAACCATAAGTAAGAACAGGGAGTACGCATTGATTATATACTTTGGTCTTAAGATGCTGTGGATATCTTTTGTTTTTAAGAATGTAGCTTAGTTTGCCAAATGCCGCCCATGCCAGTCTAACTCGTCTCTTGATCTCTGCTGTTTGGTTCTCTTTGTTAAGTTTTATAGTTTGACCAAGATATATATAATCCTTAACTTGTTCTATTTAATCTTGTCCGATTCTCATTACGATGTCTTCATCTGTATTTGTTATAGTTTTGGTCTTGCTGTAATTCATATTAAGGCCTATCTTTCCAGCTTCTACATCCAGTTCTTTCATCATTTCAAATAATTCTTCTTTTTTATCGGTTATCAATACGATGTCATCAGCCTACCTTAGATGGTTCAAGCGTTGTCCACAAATTTTTATACCTTTTTTTTTCCCATTCTAATCTTTTAAAAGTATCTTCAAGAGCCTGATTGAAAAGTTTCGGTGATATTGTATCACCCTGTCTCACGCCTCTACTTATTTGTAATGATTTTGTTCCTTCATATACTTTAATTGTTGTTTTGGCTTCCTTATATATATTGGTTATATTAGTTCCGTATATCTGTGGTCAATTCGGCTGTTAATTAAAGAACTTTTCACTGCCCAATGTTCGACACTGTCGAAAGCCTTTTCGAAATCTATGAACGCCATATATAGAGAAATGTGGTATTCATTTGCTCGTTCTATAAGTATTTTCATACTTAGTAAATGGTCACTTGTGCTGAATCCCTTTCTAAAACCAGCTTGTTCTTTCGACTGGTATCCATCGAATTTTGTCGTCAATCTATTGGTTAAAATTTTTGTTAGGAGTTTATACATTACATTGAGGAGTGTTATAGGACGGTAGTTTTTTATATCTGCTTTATCCCTTTTCTTGTGTAGGATAATGGTTACTGATTCCTTCCAGTTGTTTGGGATTCTTTTTTCTTTTAATATATTGTTAAAAAGGGAATGTAGAGTATTAATTACCACTTTTCTACCATATTTCAGCATCTCTGCAGCTATTTCATCTTTTCCAGGCGATTTGTTGTTTTTCATTTCTTTCAATGCCTTCTTTATTTATTTTTCTGTCTATGTTTTCCTTAAATTCATCACCATACTATTTTACGGCTCTTTGTAGATATTTCGATTACTGTCTTTGATTTTTTCCACCTTGTACCAACAAGAATGTAGGTTGGTCCAAGTCCCGCCTACAGCTTCTCAGCTTTTCTTGGTATCTCACTGCATGTCGTGAAATTAATTTCTCTTTCTAACATATTTTTCCGAACAGCACCCGGACTGTATAATAATCGGAACCTCAGTCCTTAGAATTCCTCTAAGGAATCGCCACCTGTCATAGCAAAATTTAAACCCTATATCGTCCTCAAATGATATTTATTCTATGATTATTTTGGTCCTTCGAACAGGATATTTAAAACATTTTTTTTGTAAAAATTCTGCCTTGTCTAATCTAGTTCATTTTACATGCACCTGGCTCATTTGCCTTCTACAACAATTAAAGTCGGATTTACTTATGTCTTTAGGTTTAGATTTACGATTTAGGAAAATATGTATATAGTTAACTTACGTCTTTAATACTGCCAATAGATTCGCCGGGTTTGTGTTCTTCAGCAATGGTTAAAGCACAAGCCCTTCCGAAGACGACCAAGTCAAGAAGAGAATTAGCACCCAGTCTGTTAGCACCGTGTACAGATGAAGAAGCAGCTTCACCACAAGCGTACAGTCCGTGCACTCGTTTGTCCTCGCCGTTAACAGTAGTTAATACCTGAAAAATACAAACAATTAAGGTTTTATAAAGCTGCAAAAGTCTTCCGTAAAAAAATAGATCGTGCTACCCAAATAAAAAGGTCTACAATCAAAATATTTGTTACCAGAATTACATGTGTAATTCCAGATTTCATTCAGTGTATGTTTGTTGGCAAAATTCAATATAATTGTGGATTATTAAGAATTATTTAAGTGCGTAATGATTATTTGACCTGCAAAATGTAAGAATAAAAAATGCAGAATCTTTAAGTTTTGCTGGATTACGAAAAATATTTCTATTGTGTTTAGACTAAACATTATCTTAAACTAATTCCGTTTTTTTTTTGCTTTATGAAATATTAACTAATAAATGTCATATTTTTTAAGTAAGAGGGTAATGTCTCTTCTTCTTCTTTTGCCGTGGACCTGTAGTGCGTTGGCGAATCATCTTAAGGCCAGACGTCTATCTTTTACGGCATGCAAAAGCTCCCAAGTGTTATGCCTATACAGTTCTTTATATTTCGTAGCCATTTGTTTGCGACCTACTCCCTCTTGTCCTCTTTTGAGTAATGTAAGATGACTAAATTACCTTGCTAAAGTTTGATGTTGGCACCATTAAGAACTGTCCAAATGCTATATGAAGAAAAAGAAGAGGTATTTTTACTTTACCTGTCCTTTATAGTTGGTGGGTACTCCTCCCATATTGTAATGTACAGTTGGTAACACAGGAATAGGTTCTCTAGTGACATCGACACCGGCAAAGATCATCGCAGTTTCTGAGATACCTGGCAGCCTTTGAGCCAACTGATCAGCTGGCAAATGATGGAGCTGTAGGTATACGTGGTCCTTATCAGGTCCACAGCCACGGCCTTAAAAGAATATTTAGGTATTTTAGAGCAAAAATAAAAAATAAAAAATAAAAAAATTAAAAATAAAATAAAAAATATAAAATAAAAAAAATTAATTATAACACTGTAGCGTCTTTCAAAATTTGACAATTGACACATAGTGATCAAATTTTGACATTTGAAATATTTAATTTGAAAACGTTGAAAAAATTGAAATATTGTTTACCTTCTCTGATTTCTATGGTCATACTTCTAGATACTACATCTCTGGAAGCTAAATCTTTAGCTACGGGTGCGTATCGTTCCATAAATCGTTCACCTTGAGAGTTGATGAGGTAGCCTCCTTCTCCTCTACACCCTTCGGTCATTAGGCATCCAGCACCATAAATACCAGTAGGGTGGAACTGGAATATTCCAAGACAATATTAGTAGGTTCATTTCAGTGTTTATGAAATTTATAATTTACCTGTACGAATTCGAGATCTTGTGACGGCAAGCCGGCTCTAGCGACCATCGCAGTACCATCACCAGTACATGTATGAGCAGAAGTACACGAAAAGTATGCTCTACCATATCCTCCAGTAGCCAAAATCTAGAACGAATATGTCAAGGTTACCATCAGATAAGAGATATCGTAAAAACCAACAACGCAGGTATGCAAGGATGGAAGAATGTTTTGAAGCAGGCCAGGACTCATGAAGGCTGTAACACCCACTGATGATGACTATCAGATAAGAAAAAATCATCAAGCATAAAAGAAAAAAAAGATATTAGAAGTGTTAAATCAATTATTTTCCTTTCCTTTTTACTCCCATATCCATACATTCCTATAATTCAATATTTTTGAGGTTTCCAGCCTTCTTGGGCTTAGCTTAGTTTATTCTTAATTATTTTAAGAGACGCAATAGTTGGATTTGCTAGTGCCTAAGAAGCGAAAGGAAAAGTTACTCCAGTAAAAAAGATAAAGCAAATGAACCAGATGATATCCCTGAGAAAGCATGACAACGAATGCATGTGACGGAGATAAGAATATAATGGGTGAATGGGTAAATAAGATAAATGAGCGGAGTGCAAAAAATAATACAATTAAGAATGGATATATTAAAGATTTGCTTAGTTTCAAGATCTTAGAAAGAATAGGAGAGAGACTTAAAAAAAGCAGGTGGGAACGCTTACGCAGAACATACTTTAAAGGAAATTGGTATTGGCAGAAACCAGGAGAGACTCTTATGGAGAAATAAAATTAGAGAGGTCGACTTTGAAGAAAATATTGAGTAACTAGTCCTCTCTCGTCTCTTAGAAGATTTAATTGTAATCAGACTAAACGATTCACGTCCAAAATATCAATATTTAAGTACTGAATGACAATATTAAAACATGAATAACTTACTGTATTCTTGGCTCTGAACCTATGCAAAGTACCATCCTCTAGGCATAGAGCGATAACTCCTCGGCACTCTCCACCTTCCATAATTAAGTCTAAGGCGAAATATTCTACGAAATAATTGCAGTCGTATCTTAAACTTTGACCATACAGGGTGTGAAGTAGACTGTGGCCGGTCCTATCGGCTACACAACAGCACCTGAAGCATAAAGATGAGCGGTATATTATTTTACTAATACAGATCACGTACTTTCCACCTCTATATTCATTCCACAGTAGGTACCATAGATAAATAATATATTAGAAATAGATAGGCAACTTAGGGCCGGTTTTTCAGTGCTGGGTTAACCTATTTATTTTTCGGTTACCGAAATATTTATGGTTAATCTGTTTTTCAGTACTAGGTTAGCGCTTAAACCAGTTTAAGTTGACCAAGATTTTAACCCATACTCGTTAGATGGTTTAACCCCGAATTTTTTGGTTACGCTTGCGCATAGGTGCAGAGTCAGAGTGCATCAGATGTCTTTTGTTTACAATTGCCTGAGAGAAGAGATTAGTTAGGTTATGTTATTTTGTGTCTATCTCGGGAAATATATTCTAGAATTGTTTTTATCGCGTGAAATATACACTTTACCTCCGTATTATATATTATTACCAAATTTATAAATTATTATTATCATTATCTAGGAAGGAAATAAATATAACTGCAACAGGTATGTTCACATTATTGTATTTTAGATTGGTTTCATTGTCTTATATTGGTATAAGTTGATTTTTTAATTACGTGTAATTTTAGTCAGTATGAACGGACAAACAAATGTTGCCATGCGGTCCAAAAACTTTACAGAATGCGAAATCACCCTATTGGTGGGGCTGGTAAATAAATATAAGAAGATACTGGAATGTAAAGAAACGGGAGTTGTTAGTAATAGGCAAAAGTCCTGTGAATGGGTACAACTTGCCATTCAGTTTAATGCACAGTCCACTGCTGGAATACCACGTTCAGCTAAAATACTGAAGGAGAAGTGGACGAATTTAAAAAAAACTGCTGTAAGAAACCACGGCAAAGACAGGAGATACTATACAGCTACAGGTGGGGGTCCATCGAAGCCAGCTGAGGAAACCCCAGTTGACTGTATTATAAATGATATATTGGGTGAGCGAAGGACAGGAATGCCATCAGAGTGTGATTCTGATTTGATTCAAACAGGCAAGTATTGTATGACTTTCAAAATTTAGCCATTTTAATTGTGAGTTTTTTTAGAATATCTTGTGGCAGAGGACTTAGAGAGAAGTGAAAATAATGAAAATGTTGTAGAAGTACTTCAAATAGAAGTACAAGAAGAAGAACTTCAAAATGAAGCAAATATAAATGAATCACTTTTAGATTTATTAAATACTGATGAAGGTGAATATTTTAATGTACATATTAAAATGTGTTTCATATATTTTCATTTTGTAGATTGGTCTGATTATACACCTTCGAAACTAAAAAAACCAGTGGCGAAGGAATTAAAGGAAAAAAAAGGTAAGTTGACAAAAATAAAATTATGAATTTAATGAAATCAATAAATTACAGAAAAGGTAACTGGGAGTACCACAAACGAAAAATGGTGCAAGGTGGCTGATGCCAAATTGGAATTATATAAGTTGAAGAAGCAATCACTGATGGAAGATAACAAGAGAAAGAAGGACTTGCATGACCTTCAAATGAAATACCTTCAAGAAGAGCACAAATTAAAAATGAGCTTATTACGAGGGGAGCACCAGACACAAACTAATAAAATGTAATAAATAAATAAAAAGAATATCTTTCTTTCCTTTCTTTTTACCTATCAGTTTGTCGGATTTGGGACAGCTATTTTAATTTCCATTCACCTGTCTCTTCCATTATTTTCAATTCCTAGTGTGATTCTTGTTAAACTCTTCGTGTCTCATACTACTTTTATCCATATTTTTCTTGAGCTGCCTCTTTTTCTGTTTACAATGTTCTTTGCTTCATGGACTTTTCTTGTAGTTCTGTTAGGATGCATCCTCTTCAGATGCTCATACTAGTTTATGAGTCTCTTTGCTATTTTATTTATTATCGGTTTGGACATTCTCTTAATAGTCATCATGTTTCTAAATTTACAAGGCAAATTATGAACATTTTATAGTTATTTCTTCTTTGACACTGATTATCATTATCTTTTCCTTTTATTACCTTTTCCTAGTTTATGTCCATTCTTAGTTTTTCTATTTGTTCTAAATATATATATATATATATATATATATATATATATATATATATATATATATATAAGTTGAAATGATTTCAATATGTAATAGTTTTGTTTTTATTATTTTTATGTTTTATTGTTAATAAATATAATTTTAATTGAATTGAAGTGAATTTTAAAAGTATGTAGTTCGTTGTTAATATACTATACCTCGGCTAGCTCAATTATTTGTTCTAAGCAATCTGTCACTGTGTGACGTCAACTCTGTAGTCTCCTGGTAGAGTTCAAAAAGAAATTAAACCAAAATTTACTTTATATTTTTGATAAATTAACCCAAATGAAGCACGTTATTTATTAATATTGAACAAATTTAATATAAACAATAAAATTAGTCTGCAACTTGGGTTGCCTTTAAAAATTTACAAAAATAGGAATCGTGTAAACCTTAATGTGTCGTGAAAATAGAATTTGATTACAAAATGTGGAAACTCTCTACAATTACCTTAAATCTAAATGACTATTGCAACTTTATAAAGTGTTTAAATGAAATATAAAGAAAAGAAAACTGAACACTTTATGCCGCTGACTTATAACTAGCATTAAAATATAATCAAAATTTCAAATGATCCCCAAAATTATTATCCAAACTCACTTTCAAACAGTTCTGATTTTTTTTTTTAAAGAAAACTAACTACTCGCAAAATAATCGGTGATACTGGAATATCTATCCTCTCTTCGGAAGTTAAAGGTACGTACTATTATATTTTTATTTTAATGATCATTAATATTTCAATTTTTAAGGCCTATCGCAATTAGTTAATTCATGAATTTTTACTTTTTCAATCTAAATGACATTTCTGCACTCCAATTATAATTTATAAGTCAAAATTTCTCTTACTCTCTGGAACAAATTCTGGATATCTCTATTTGAAAATGTGGAAAAACTAAATTATAATTAAACGATTTTAAAGCACTCCCGGACTATTCCACCTTTTTAGGGCTCTTCCTCCAAAATTTTCGTCGCCTCCAACAACCTATTCTTCCTTGTTAACCGCCATAGCTAGCACCAACCACCAAAATTATTCGTTGCCAACAGCAACCCCCTTTCTTTTTTCATTCCGTCTTCTATTTTATTCAACCATAAAACTGTCCTGTTTTGACATATTTGTCAAACCACATTAATTTCTCATAAGCACTTTAATCACATCTAATTTGGGAATTTATAAAAAAAAATTCAGATATAAAACTTAACAATACTAATATAATTTATTCTTTTCATCTCCACATCATTGTAATTTATTTAACAAAACCCCTATTAATTTAGTTCCCACAGACTTTTGACAGTTTATTTTTCTGACGTTTATTTTTAAAATTTCTATGTTTAAATAATTTTTTAAGAATTCTTCTTTTTTATTCCTTTTAAGGTTTAGACGATTCACCTATACACTAGGCAACTATACTATTCAGAAATTATTAACACTATACCAGGTAAGTCAAAATTAATTTATTTAGCAATTTACTAATCTTTTCTCCCTTTTATTTCAGAGTCGACCCCACATTGTGATGGCTTCATGAAATTCATGAACAACAAACTCATATAAAAATCCCTTTAAGTTATATCCTCTTTGACATATTGAAATCATTTCAACTTCCCCCCAATTTGGATTTTGTTCAGTGCTAACTATCAGCACTTACTAAATCTAAATTCTTACCGATAAACTTAAACATTTTATTAATATTAACATAACAATAAACTGACTTTTATTAATAAGCATATCTCTTGAATATTTTTTTTTTTTAATAATTTACTCTATGAAAAATACAGACTTCTCCAAACAAAATCTACAAATCTTTCACTAATTATATCAACTTCAGAATCAAATTTCCAAGTACTTTCCCAATTTCATTACTTCTTTTCCTGTACTATTTATTTCTCGTACTAATTTCGTAGAAATTCTTATAATTGTTCCCCTCTTTATTTTATATCTTTATTCATTTATTTCCGCATATACTATTTCAGTATCTTTATTCATTGCCGCATTATTATTTATTCTTTTTGTATCCGCATATAATATCCATTTCATCATCTCTACATATAACTCTCTATATTTCATATTTCAATATTTCCTATAATTCTATTTTTCATCTTATTTCCCACATATTTTCACATATACTATTTATCATTATAATATTCCCTATTTCCCAATTTCTACAAAATATCGATTTGTCCATAGTACTTTGCTCATTTATTTATACTTGTAACTCCTATAAATTTACTTGAAAATAAATCAACCTCTTTTTTTTTATATATAAATTCATCATTATTCTGTACATCTGTTCCCAATAAATTATTTGAGTCATGTTATTATCAAATTTATCTCAAGATATGCTTATGTATTAATTATCCTTCTATTTACAAAACTTATATCTAATAATATAAAATTCGTGTCATAATATTGCCTACCCTTGTATGTTTATTCATAATACTTATAAATTCCCTCTATATTAAATATCCCTCTAATTTTATTAGTTTCTGGATGTCTTAGTTCATAACTGTTTACCCCATGTTCAGTACTAATGACATAAGGTCCTTCAAATGGCAAAAGTAATTTTCCACACAGATTTTCATTCCTTTTAGGCACCTGTAGTGACCTGATAAGTACCTTCTCCCCTTTTTCAAAAATAACTCTTTTCTTTCTCTTCTTATTGATTCTATTTACATAACGACTTGCATTTCTTATTAAATTTTGGTTCACCTTCTTCATTACTTCTTGAATGTCCCCTGTATTACTGATTTCCCAAGGTCTTTCTGGATACTTTCCAGACATTAGGAAATATGGGCATTGTTTGGTGATTCCATGTGGTGTCTCATTTAAAAATCTTTCAACTTGTGGCAAATTTTCCTGCCATAAATAATGTTGTCTAGCACACAAAATTCTTAAGAATTTTACCACCTCTTTGACATATCTTTCTGCAGGAT